CCTAACCCAAACCCTACCTTAACCCTTACCTAACCTTAACCCTTACCTAACCCAAACCCTAACCTTAACCCTTACCCTAACCTTAACCCTAACCTTAACCCTAACCCTAACCTTAACCCTTACCCTAACCCAAACCCTAACCCAAACCCTAACCTTAACCCTTACCCTAACCCAAACCCTAACCTTAACCCTTACCCCTAACCCTAACCCAAACCCTAACCTTAACCCTTACCCTAACCCTAACCTTAACCCTTACCCTAACCCTAACCCTTACCCTAACTGAGGAATAACCCAAATATTAGAGAGGCAAACTCCCTCAATAAAGAACCAAATGAATAAATGAGAGGCAAAGTCATTGGATGTCCTGTTCTGATCTGCTGTTTGGAATACTAGTATGTATCATGTATCATATACCAGGTCACATTTAGCGTATTGTATTTATTTATTTTGTACATACTGTATATAGTTCATTCATTGCTTTTGCAACATGATGTTTCACTATTTTATATAACTTTGTTTCTTCTTGCACTATTGTAATTGTTTTCAAAATAGTTTCAGTGTTTTATGATTGATATATTCATGTCCCATTGTTAGAGGAGACTTGATGTCGGCCATATCTCCACTGTAGCTGTGCATATGATGATACAGGCTTTGGACCTCGTTCCAAACAAAGTACAGACTTGAAAGTGTTATGAGCCATTCTGAATGTTGTTCAACTTCTGCTGTATGTTAGGATAGTCTCCCATACACTAGATAGCACACCACTTTAAAGTCCATACTGCCACCTACTGTACGAGACTGTGTGACATCACACATGTTCCTTTCTCTTTCTTTATAGGACACATCATGTCATTTGACCCAAGTTGGGATGCTTTCAATCAGATACACTGGAGGTTGGATTGTATAGTACAATTATTGTCAATATATGATGATATTGCATAAGATCCACTGCATGTTTTGGGTATGTGATAACTCATGACAGCTATAACAGTAAGACACCTGCAGCTTCCTGGATCTGCTTCCATGTATATCTAATAGTTCTAGTTGAACACATATTAGTATCATAGTGAGTGATCAGTGTGAGGTCCTCAGTGGGTTCTAGTCAAATAAGAAACTGAAACTGCGTGAATGATATTATGTATAGAATATAATGCTATTTGTATATGAAAATACTTCATCCTCCCCCCCCCCAGTGAAACAGTATTTCATCATTAACATGTGTATAAATATGACAGTACAATATGTTTATCTCTTTTAATATACAGTCAACATTACAAGAGCAGCACATCTTTACAATAAAACTACAAAATCAAAGAACCATATATTTCAGGAAGCCAAATCAAAAGATTTAGTACATATAGTGTTTGTAGTGTGTCAGCATGGTGTGTGTTAAATGTGTAATGAATGGGATGTGTGTGTTTCTCAGGATCTGGGTACTGAATGTTCATGAGGATGGATTGCAGTGGGTTTGGAATAGGTGGAGATCACTTTCATCCAGAGCTTTTATTACAAATGTGTATTGTTGGATATCAACATTAAATGAATTCTATATTTTAAATGATTTAACCTAAACCTTTTCTGAGTGTCTTTTTGAGCTCTAGGTTTTACACATGTTCAGTTGAAAGCAAAACTCTAGCACAGTAACCAGATCATTTAGAGCTTTCAAACCACTCTCAGTCTTCATCAGTAGATGGGGTTTGCTCACAGACTTCTGAGTAGTAGTATTATTATATCCACTGATGAAGGCCATGAGTAGCGGAAGAGGAAATTAAGAGTTTGGATAGTTGTCACACAGCCACTGAACCGTCCAATCACAGCAGAGGAAGAATGAATTGTCGTGAACACAAAGGACACTATATTATGACAAGTGTCTTCTTAGTGTACACAGATCATTTCATCTCTGCTTCACATGATGCAGCATGATCCTGTTCCTCTACAGACAGGACACACATCGTACTCATGGGGGGGGCCGTGGCTCTGACGCAGTGGACTCCATAGAAGCAAACGTCAGACTGCACATTAAAGCTTTCTGTTTCAAAGTGAGAACCCTTGAAGTAAGAGGCCTTGGGTCTGGAAAAACAGGGATGTCATATTTACTAAGTAAACATTTCTGAGATGTTTCTTGGAGGGAATGATGTCATCTGCAGCCATGGAATGTCACTTAGTACACAAGTGCACATTCAGGGTACGTTGGACTTTTTGAGTTGGATCATTTCGATTTTTGGTGTGATTTTGAATCCAGCCCTCAATGGGTTGATGAGTTTGGTGTCCTTTAACTATTTTTGGGTCATTTTGTTCTCAACCAATTACACAATGGATATAAATAAAGATGTCTGACTTAAATATGTTGTCACTTATCTTAATATGTAACTTTAACCTTTAACCTAATTCAGATTTTTGTAAGAGTTCAAAAATGTGATTTTGTGATAAATGAAACAATTTGTTCAAGAATATGTTAGTGGATAAATCAAGTGTCCAACTGAGAGAGGACTTATTGGCATCTATAAAGCCATTTTCAAATGTATTTTTGAATCATTCTGATTTTGTTGGATGTTTCTTTTTCCTTATTTTAGATTGTTCTGCAATTGGTACTAGTACGTTAAATAATGTTTTGCTGATTTGACTTCCACTTAAGTAACATTTTGTATTCAGTACTTTTACTTGTAACAAGAGTATGCACAGTTTGGTTTTAGCACTTTTACTTAGGTAAATGATTTGAATTCTGGTCATATGGTCGTCACTGCGGGGAAGATAGAGTATCTTGGTGGTAGACTTCAGATGAACATGCACAAATGTTTGATTTGTCTCTACAGACAAGCTATTTCCCTCTGAGAAGTATCAAATAAAGCATCATTTGACATTTTTAAAATGACAAACCCACAAAATGACAGTTGAAGCTGGGTTTAGTTCTCTGGACATGTACATCCACAGATGTGCACAGATACAGGCGCTGAATGCAAAGCACTTGTGGACATGTGTTCGAGGTGATGTGTGTGTGATGGGGATAATCCTCTGATGATGATGATGATGATGATGATGGTGATGAAGGGTTTGCTCATTATCTGAGAAAGCCTGCTTGTACCTCCCTGAACATGGGCAGCAGAGCAGAGATAAATATGACATCTATTTGAGTTGTCCATGCTAAGATTAAAATAGTGCAACGCGTACTCATTCATGTTTTACACTCACAAAAGGCAATAAATAATACTACTCAGGTAAGATGAGTGCTCTCTTAATACTATCTCTAGAAGAAAGTTGGACACATTGTGATATCTTCATTGAACTACACAGATACCTGAGGGAACCACAGAATAACACCCAAAGACTGAAACATCTGAAATCACAATGTGCAACATGAACCTTCATGTGTGGAGAGAGAAACCTGCGTGTGTGTGTGTGTGTGTGTGTGTGTGTGTGTGTGTGTGTGAGGGTCCAGTGTTGGTGCATCTATGGCTGAGAACAAAAGGCACAAATCACAAATATGCATATGGCTGATGTTTGATAAGCAGCTGAATCACATGACCTCTCCTCTCAGCACTCCACAGAACGAGCCGTCAGAACATTACCCACTCTTGGATCTAAACTCCCTGTAGTAGATGGTACCATTTGATACTGGTTACATTGTACCCTTTCATTGGGTCCACACCACTAAACACATGTAGAAGAAAATGACACCCGTAAAATAAAATGTGACTTAGATTGTGGTCGAATACTCTTTTTTTCTTAGGAAGGTTCCTAACGGAGGGAAATGACCCGGAAGTACCTCAGTGTCAGTCATGATAAGAGCTGTTTGATTAGATGATGGGAAAAGAGCTTCAATGCTTCCTTTATTATCTGAGCCATCCTTTATGAAACACTGGAGATAATGCTGTCCCACAATTCCTTGCATTGTTGGAGAAGCCTGTGACATAAGATTTTCAACTACATAATTACTCTGTAGCTATGTCAGATTGACAATAAAGAACCTTGAACCTTGAACCTTACGGCCGCAACATTTAAAGTGACACAGCGTTCAGTCATTCACGGGAGAGAAACATTGGGAAGGACTAACTTTAACTGGGAGTGTTCCCTACACATCAACCTCATGTAACCACGATCACATGATCAGCACACAGCCAATCATCTAAATGCTGTGTATGGTTCAACTCTGTACTTATTTGACTTTTATTATAAAAGAAGAGCGCATCATTTTTTAAAGATAGCTTAATTAGGGATCAACAAATCCATCCAAATAACCAAACAGAGTGGTGCAGGAATGAGTCCTGAAACCCTGAAATGAGTCAGCATTTTAGCACCTCCGGTTCCCTCATCTTGGAATCAACAGTTTTTTGAACATGTTTGTGGTTGAAACCATGAAATAAGGTCTGTGGTTACCACAAGCTAAGGAGATTTGAATGTTTTTTATGTCAGTAAATACCCCACGTGTAAATATCTGAAGCTTGTATGCAGGGGCGCCGCTTGCCAACAGGCAAGGCAGGCAACTGCTTGGGGCCCCGGACCAGAAGGACAAAACATGTAAGTATCATAAACGTGTGTTTTCCAGAGAGAATTTTCTGCAAAATTCCCAAATCCAATAAAAAATCCCATTCTTTTTTATCGAGAGGTCTAGCGATGCTATCTTCCGGGGTCAGCCTACAAAAAGATGTCATCAGTGCACCACTCTATTAGCTGCATGATTAAAAGCAGGATTACTTGAGCCTGATATCAGCATGATAGTCTGCTTTGGTTGGGCCACATATAAAAAACAGGGCTCTGATTGAAATAGAGTGAGCACACTGTCAGAGATGAGAACAGAGAGGCACTCAGGTTTCTGTCTCCGGAGCTATTCAGTCATCGGTATAAGTTCTGCTCATCGGTCCAATCATCAAGTTCTGCACAGCACAGCACGCTACATCATAAAGCTAAAGGAACGCAAACTAAGGGAGTGTTGGAGCCAGAATGCTAACAGAGGGCTGCTCTCACCCACTTCAGCCAGTCAGTGAAGAACAGTGTGTGCGCTTCAGGCGGAGAACGTAATCGTGACTTTGCACTGTAGTTATGAGGTATTTTGGCTTTTGGTTACATACAGGGTAGCACTGTTTCATTACAAAGAACAACAACACTACTTAAAGCTAAATGTTTTTGGCTTTTTAGTCTTTTGGTACAAAAATAATATAGCTTGAGCTGAGCGTAATAAGAGGGCTAACCAGCTATCGATGCTAACAGTTTGAGTTGAGATGGACATACAGTACGAGCACAGAGATGACATAAACACTGGGCTCCTTTATGCATCCATCTGCCACCCAAACACACCTGTAACACTGTGTGTATTCACTGTGAATGAACTCCATTACTTTTGACATGTCTGTGTTTTGTCATGAATTAATTTGCAGAACACTGCTACAATTTCAAGAAATCCCAATTGCATATAGGGAAACTGGATTTCTGCAGTGCATACAAATGTCTTCAGAACACAGGTTGGTGAGAATCTTTCCTCCCTTGTGTTTGACTTTAGATTGCAGAGTAAAGCATTAGAAACATGTGTGTGTGTCTGTGTGGCTGCAGACAGTTTGGTTGCAGTGTGTGTGCGTGTGTGCATTGATTGTTAAAAGCATAATGTTATTGGTCCTCGATGTTTCCTGTATTTCTCATTGATTTGCTTCGTGTATCAATTTAATAGCATATTTGGCAACAGGTGTATGTGTGTGTGTGTGTGTGTATGTGTGTGAGTGTGTGTGCACATTCATACAGTTCATATTGAACACGTTGGTCCTCAGTTAGCAGGCCCTGGGTCTGCCAATGGCATAGTGTGCAGCACCTCGTCCAGCAGCTGCAGAGCGCGGTGCAGGTGGACCTCCACCCAGCAGGGGGTGTGTTTGATGCTCTGCCGGGGGTAGTCGGGCCCCCAACCCTTTACGAAGCTGAGCCGCAGGATACATAGACGCCTCAGGTCGTCCACCCCGATCCCCGCGGCTGCAGACAGACCTGTGAGAGGAGAGGGACACATCACGTCAGGGAGCCTTTCTGTACTCATCATGGGCTTTAGAAGGAGGCTTACATTACTTATGCTGTGCCTTTTGCTCAGCCTGTGGTATCACTGCTTGCATCTTTCAGACAGACTTTTACACTCACTAAACACATTGAGCTTCTTTGGGACCAATACACCTCCCATCCAAAAAACAAGCCATTTTGCGAGAAAAACCCCCGATGATGCTGCTGTAAGTTAGAATGGAAGTCCTACAATACTGAAATGAAAAGGCTAGTAAGGAAAACAAAAGATGAAGATTACAAGTGAATAAAGCAGCGGTTCCCAACCTGTGGGTCACGCCCCCCTAGTGGTCCGCGAAGGCATGGCAAGTTGGCCGCCAAATTATTATTTTTATTATTATTATTTTAATTTTTTTGTACAGGCAAAAGACACAAACATGGACATAACAATACCATATAGGAGATGACATTCCCATCTCAGACAAAAACAAAACAAAAACAGAAGAAATAAAGATACAGTCAGTAGGATCAACATTTCACAAACAAAAATACAACATGGCATATTTACTGTTCCTTTGATCCCACTCTTCGTTAGAGCTCATTATTTCCCATTTCATGGCGTGTTGGCCACCCTTTGATTTTTTGTGGCAATCATTTTTTCCAAAAGAAAAGGTATTTTTAATCTACTCTTCAAACACCTTAAATCAAGATTACTCTGATTGACTTTTAAAAAGATGTATTTTAGCCAGAAGAATAGTTGTATTTATTAACTGTGTGCGGCCTTCATCTAAAAGCCCAAATAAAATATTAAAGGGGGTAAATGTAAATTCAATATTTGACGCCAAATAATTTGCAAAACATTAGGATTTGTGTGGAAACATTTTCATTATTAAGATTATTTTTTATTTGAACCTCTTTTCCTTTCTCTTTCTTGATCCTTCTTAGCAACGGTCATTACAGTCCTTGACAGCGGTCTGTTCTACTGGATTAACAACGTGTCACATGTTCTGAATTGACTAATCAGAACTTTATTTAGCCTCCGTATTTCTTATGGTTGAATGTGGGCCGCGAAAACATTTTTGATTCTTAAGTGGGCCCTGAGTTGAAAAAGGTTGTGAACCGCTGGAATAAAGCATGCAAGTAACACCTGTCCACTCCTAAAGAGGAAAAACCGCCACTTGACTAACTCTGGTGCATTGACCGCAACGTCTATCGATGTGCACTGTCCCTGTTAAATAAATGTATTATAATGTAGCAGCAGCATATAGTATATATAGAAATCCCCAAAATCCTAAAACATGTACAGCAGACTTGAAATAAAGTTTACAAACACAATTTAATCTTCAGTATCCCAACACTGCTCAAAGCTGCATGAGTGGGCTCAACTACTAACACGTCACTAGGGATGGGTATCGTTTGAAATGTATCGATTCCGATTCCGGTTCTGCTTATCGATTCCGGTTCTTATCGATTCCGGTTCTTATCGATTCCCCGTTTCGATTCCAAAATTGTAAAAGAAAGAGGTCAAACATTTAGATAACAAAAATATCTTTATTCTTTTAAGCTTTAACTGACATTTTTACAAATAAAAAATATACATGCAATACAAATGTATTGCACAATAGCTGTGCTTTATTTGAACTGAGCTATGCCTGTGGCAAGGCATTACACTGTGCCTTGTCTTTTTCTTTTTTAGTGTAGTGGAGCCTCACTTTAGAGCGTTTACCACGACCCATCTTTGGCGTTATGAAGTGACTGAGCTCGTGAACTGTCTATGGGAGGGCGGGGGGAGCCCCGCTGCGGGGCCACTGTGGAACTCTGTCGCCGCAACTTACATGATGCCGTTTAAAAAAAAATTAAGGGCGGTGCCGGTCGTCAACGGCCCGCTGACGACTGGCCGTTCTGTGATTCTCCAGAACACACAGATGGCCAGTCCGCCCTTACCCTGGCTGTATTCCACCGGGTCACCGCGGCGCAGACGGACGCGCGGTGCAGACGGACCCACGGTGCAGACGGACCCGGTGGAATAAAGGGTCTACCGCGTTTAGGAACCGTTAAGCCGAACCGAAATTGTGTATTTTGTATGGGTACCCGGTACCCGGCATTTTCTTATCGGTTCTCATCTGGAACCGAGTTTCGGTTCCCAACCCTACACGTCACCATTTCATATACTTGTTATCTGTCACGATCTTGGTGTTATGTCACGGTTTTAGTTTTGTGTGTCTGGTAATGGGTTTTGTTTTGCTGTTCTGTTCTCCCTGTCTCATGTTTTCCTCCTTGTTTCTTGTCTGGTCCTTCTCCCTGTGTTTTGGTGGTATATATATATATATATATATATTAGTTCCTACCTTGAGCCTTAAACTCTTCATTGTACATTTAGCATGTTTCTGATTGTACTCACTAACTGCAGGTGCGATGCCTCCGACGCTGCCTGGCCCGGGGATGTTTCCTGCCACAGCAGCAGCCTGCGCTGCAGCTGCAGCCTGCGCAGTCGCAGCCTGCTGCTGCATCTGTCTGTGGCACTGCCGCAGGTCAAACACCTGAGAGACACAGAGCACATTACAACTTTCATTCTTTAATCCCACTCCAACTGTTCATATAGCGCTATATTTGCCAATAACAATGACTAACTTCAAATGGATGTGACTTATTTGTTTGTGTCTCGCAACCTATGAGATCAATGCTTATAGTTCAATGCTATATAAATATCTTATAAATACTGATACACCACTGTATGTATTGTAATATGCAACACATATTGTAGTGCAACGTGTGCATTTTTACTTTAACTTCCCATATAAAATAATGATATTCTATTTCATTTGATCTTTAACTGGACATCATACTTTTACTTGATTATGTTTTTATAAATACTTTTTTCATTTTTATAATTTTATTTATTTCCTTCTCAAATGGAGCAAGTCTCGCAAAACCCAATTTCCCCAGGATAAATCAAGTATTGTGATTCTGATAATTGCATGCTACTTGAAGATGTGTGTGTGAGTGTGTGCGGACCTTGATGTAGGCCCCGGGGTAGATCTTGTGCACAGCGTCCCCTGGGGCCCGGCCGGCCTCTCTGTCCAGGTAGTAGCTCTGTACGAACACAGCGTGGTCGCTCATGCAGCGCATCCACACATCGCCCTCCCCACGGCACTCCAGCTGCACGCCTTTACCTATGTGCAACCTGGAACACACACATGTGGAACCTCCCTTCATTTATTGGTAACAATGAATATTATTATACTGGCCTTGGCTGCAGAGATTACGGGGTACTCCACCAGTGTCTGATTGAAAATAAATGTGATGTTAGTTAGTTAGCATACAAGTGTAGTCCTAAAGCCTCCAGTCCTGACTTCAGAGGACAGCTCATCTGGAACAGAAAAGATGGTTGGAAAGTCCATTTTCCTGAAATGACCAAGAAGTATCAGCCATGATCCTTTAGGAAAGGACAGGAGAAAATGCTGTCCCACAATTCCTTGCGGCCACAACAATTAACGCGACGCATCATTCACGGAAACAACCTATTGTGACCAAGAAATGCAGATCTTGTAAGTTACAGTGCTTATTTAGCATTTTATAATTTATGCCTTAAAGGTCTCTTATTATCCTATTTTTCAGCATATATTATAGGTCTCAGATATATAAAAATATATAAAAAACATGTCTATGATGTGTTTTGCTCAAAATACCAAACAGATCATGCATCTTAGACATCCCTCATATCCCTCTATTCCAGCCCTGCTAGAGAAATGCTGATTTTGGGAGGGGGAGCTAATGCCTGCTCAGAATTCTACCGGCAGATACTTATAATTCTGCTGTGATTAAATGCCATCATTTTCCAAACCACATCAAGGATCTTTTCTGAAACAGTATGGAGCTCAAATGTTTTTTCTCTTGCAGGTGAGTTCCTTTTTTTATTTCCTGCTTCTTCACACATACTCTCTCCAGTACAGGTTAGCTCTGAGTGTTAGCGATGCTAATGTAAACAAAGATCATATTACTTCCAAAACACGTCACGCATTGTTTCTGATAGCAACTTTCTGATAGTGCTGTGCGTCCACATTTCCGATATGACGTGATTTATGTCATATCGGACGCAAATCTGGATCAGCTCTGTTGTTTCCCCATTTTTAGAGATTTGGGTACGGAGGAAAAGAGAGAGGGTTTTGTTTTCTGACGCTGCGTGAGTTCCCTGACACACCGGGGACACATATTTATGTATAAAAGACATCAAAAAGTGCATTTAGCATGATAGGTCCCCTTTAAAGTGCTTATATGTTTCCAACTTTCAACAATATGTTATCTGAAAACCCTCTTCTCATCTGGGCCAAACATTGGTTGTGTAGGAGTTGTCCAAAAATGAGCTCATATTTGTTTTCCTAACCACTATTCCTTAACCTCAGGGTAAAACGTATTGGGGTTAAGCAGAGACTCAGGAAAAGACAACTGCGGTTGAAATTAAAAAAATGAAAAGCGAAACATAAAGATTGCTCGCACTCACCCTCACCCACCGGTCCACATATTAATCGGCATGAATCCCAATTAGTATGATAAATGCATAACTTGTTAGGCCTACACAGCTATCAGTGTGCTATCATAGGTTAGTAGAGGAGGAGATTGATACCTCTAGTGGCTCATCGCACTCAGATGAATGTATTGTAATGTACACACCTGGCTCTTTCACTTGCGTCTGTGCGGTGGACGTTGCTCAGCTGGCCGAGGCAGAAGCGGTCTCCTCCTGACGGGTCGACGTAACCGTCCACGGTGACCACCGGGCAGCTGGAGGGCACCTTGAACATCTCCCCCACCTGAACGTCCATTTCAAAGTAGGAGATGGAGCACCAAAACTCTGGTCCTGCAATCAAACCGGGCACACAGGGAGTCAGGGTCCTGACAGCTTTGAGCCCAGATGTTACGCATTCTGCAGCAGACATATGAATCATAGCAGATACTCGAATAAATGTACAAATAAAGATTATACATCCTCTTAAAACCTTACAACCTAGAGTGCATCAGCTTTTCCATGGTCGACAGTTGTGTATATGAGCATTGACAGATAACAGTGATCATCTCTAACCTGGGTGGTTGGACACAGATGGAGGGAAAGAGGTGGTGCCATGATGCTGGGACCCTGAAAGCAGAAGGATAAGAACATTGGTGTGAAGTAAAATAAAACAAAGCTGTACATACACGTTAAACTTGAAGTGGATACTTGTGAATAGTGCGGGAGTGAGCATGTATGTCTCACAGGCATACAGGATACTTTAGGAGTTATACAGGGACTATATTTGCATTACAACCTTGTTGCACCACATTAGCACTTCATCGAGTAACTTTGAAATAAATGTAATTCTCTATATGTCAGACTTGAAAAAGTAAGCTTTGGTAATCATACAATATTAATAATACACTTTACTCATATAGCTAATTTCCTACAATGTACTTAAATAAAAGTAAAACCACAAAAGACGGCTGAAATTAGAACAAGGCTAAGGGACATGAACGGAGAGGAAGCAAAGACTTAAATCAATCATATCAGATAAATCACCATCATCAGTTTGCTTTAGATAATAGACTTCACATAAGATACAGCACCTGAAAAGGAGCGTGTGAGGAGTTTTGTGTGTGAAAGCCACAGAAAGACAGTGAACATCATGTTTGGAAGGACACAATGTCTTACAGTGGTGGTTGGTATGATGGAGGGGGGGTTGTTGGTGACCCTGCCCATTCTGCTGGGGTCCTATAGGAGTGTAGGAGGCTGTGCTGCTGCCGGTCCACACTGCTGAATGACAGGAAGAGACAAATGGTCAGTGTACAGTCAAAAAAGCCCCTTGTCCTGCAGTTTGATTAAAAACATCATGAGGACGAGGAAACATGTGAAGGTGAACTCATGATATGCTCAAAATATCATACTGCTCCTACACCATGGTGGACACGTGTTTTATTTTTGTGATTTTCATGCAACTTTATTCATAAAATGAGAACAGTGATACATCTATCCTGAACAATTTCACTGTCCAAAACACATCACACCTACTCAGAAACAAAAGAAAGTGTACATTTGAACAGGATAGTGATAGGATGTCATGACTACCACTTTAGATTTAGCTGCCATAAGGAATTGTGGTTAAGGCAACATATTTCCTTTGGTAAAAGTTGATTAGACTTCAGTTAAAGATACATCAGAAAGGAAGCAGCTTTGCTTAGCATTCAGAGAACTGCACCAGCTCTTCATGGTGCAGACAGAGATACTTCATTTCACTCAGTTAGGAACATTCCAGCATAAAAGAATATTCCACCACAGCTCAGGTGCAGTGTTCATCGAAGTACATTGCAACAGTTTACAATGTTCCTTTATTCCCCAGTTTATTATTGATTGTGAAAAGTAGCCTTTGAATATTCAAGAGTTGCCCTTAAGTGAGTAAAATAATCCAATCTGTTTCACTTTGAAACGTGTCGCCTGACTGCTTGTGCATTTATGTAATGATTACATACATACATTTCGTTTTCTATGTCCATGAGCGGAAAAATACAATTACTTATACAATTTAAGACTGCAACAAATTCCAATTTTATTATCATCATATTCAGTATTTGTCTATTTAAGTCTGTATAAACTGAGCAGTCAGATATAAATATGACAATATATCCTTGTATGTACTGTATGTTAGTGTGTGTGTGCGTGCGTGCGTGTGTGTGTGTGTGTGTGTGTGTGTGTGTGTGCGTGCGTGCGTGCGTGCGTGCGTGTGTGTGTGTGTGGACTCACTGTGGAAGGCCGCCTGGCTCTGAGAGTGTTTATTGCTGCTGTACCCGTTCTGTCCATGCGAGTGAGAAGGAGGTAGGGGGGGCTGCTGTGGGTGGGGGGGCTGTGAGGGTTGCTGGCCAGCCTGTTGCTGAGGAGTGGGTTGGGTCGGGGTCAGAGGTCGTGGAGCCGGGGTCATGCCCTGAGCCTGTGGAGATGGCGTTTGGAGCCGTCCGTCAGGGTGGCCCCCCTGCAGAGGCAGCATGGAGCCGGAGCCGGACACTAAGGGAGAGCAGAGCACACAGAGTCAGGCTGACTCCCCCCCGCAGCTGGCAGCAGCTACACATCATCACACATCAACCCTCAGGTGGCAAGGTCCAAAACATTTACAGATTTTACAGATCCGTTTCTCTTGTGAACATCCATATGTCCAATACGTGTGTAAAGAAAATCTGAAAAGTGGGTATTTTCTTTGTTTGATGTTCAATACACCACACAGCAGCTTTTAAGGATGATAAAACTATTATTTCCGCTAAGCGCAGATTCTTTGTTTTCATCAGAAAGAGGAAGGGGCCAGCAATTTGCCAGGCAGTGACGTAGCGCTGCTCTCTTCTATTATATCAAGATGTGATTGTTATAAAAACATAAAAAATAGCGCTGGGTGCATTTTTTAGATGAAATGCTGGGAGGAGGCTCTGCCAGTCTTTGTTAACCATGTGATAGTAAACACAGAATTATGATAATGAGGAGCTGACCTTTGGGTGAGACAGGCAGGTTGTATCTGGTGACGGGTGGGGGTCCATGGGGCTCAGAGGAGAGCTGTGGCTGCCCGTAGAGGTCTGCAGGAGGGAGCTTCAGGGCTGCTTGGTGGTCAGACAGAGGCATGCCAGGCGGGAGGTCCATCTGTATGCAGTCATGGATGTACTCCTCTTTGATCAGGCCGCCGCCGGCTGCTGCTGTCGGGCATGAGGGACAGTCACTACGCTGTACAGCAGTGTGTTGGACATAAACTACATCAGGTCATCAGACGATTTAATTGGTGCTCAATATCTCAATATATGACCCTTTTTCACCATGAAATCACTGAAGGGGCCAAACCAACATTGTTTATGATAATAAATGATAACATGATATGGTGTACTGACATGATGAGATGTTGTGTGAAAGTCTTAAGATAATATATAAATCAAATGAACTAAATAAAACATGTTCAGTGTGGTCACTGATGAAAGCATAGACGCAGCACTCTCACAGTTTGGTTAGTCTATAATCAGAAGTAGGTCTAACCATGTCAAATCTGAAATCTGGTGGCATTGTGTGGCATGTACCCTGTTCTGGTCACACAGAGAGGAAAGCTTCTAAAGGATCATACCATTTAACCCAGCACTATTGTAGTCTTTATGTTATGACAGCATTCAGTTCATACTTGACTTGATAGCTTATTCACACAAGGCCATCACATTCAGTACAGAGTGCATGAGAGAAAAAGGCTTTAGCATTTAGTCATTCTAGTTTAGTATTACTTAAGCTAAAAGTATTTCTTAAGTAAAATTCTAAATATTAATAAAATATTTGTTATTAAAGTACCAAAAGTAAGAGTATGCGTCATGGCCTATTTTAGAATAATACATTTGTATTATTGGATTATGAATATTGATACATTAATGTGTGTACCACTGCTGCTAAAACTGGAGCTCATTTGAATAAGGTTGTATACTGATGCTGGATAAGCTAACCTATAATTATATGTCAATGTTTATTTATGAATTGAAATTTCTTTTTTAACAGGTAATAATGTGAATCTGTAAAGTAACTAAAACTTTCAAATACATTTAGAGGAGTAAAATGTACACATGTACTGTGTATATACATATATATGACAACCTTGCTACTTGCTCCTTTGAAAATGTTAAAGCAATGAAAGCATAAAAAAGTAGCTGTAACAAATGCTATGGCTGCATTCAAAGTGTTGACTATAAGTGACAGTGTGCAAGATTTGGCGCCATCTAGCTTTGCAGTTGCAGATTTTGCAACTGCAAGTAAGAACAACGTTGTTACTGCCGTTTCACCTGGCTCCTTCTGTAGAGTTGAGAAAAACACAACTCCTACTTTCAGGTGATTATTGACTAATGAAAACATAATTCTGAATATAATATTCATTACTTTGGAGCGAATGTAGCTAAAGTCTGTAGGGGCTTGTGAAGCGAAGAGTTGCTGGTTGAAGTCCCAGAAAGGACCAAGCATGGAGAGTAGACTTGTACTTTGAGAGGTGCCAGTTCATCTCCTGACTACTGCCCTGGAGCATGGCACCAGGTCTCTTCACACTGCTTCCAAGGCGCTGTATAGTAGCTGACCACTGCTCCTTATACTAGGATGGGTTAAATGCAGATTTCACTGTGTGTGCAAAGTGCATGTGTGTGACCATCAAAGAGGAATTCATTGTAATCCTCCATTTTTATAATTTCCTATATTCCATTTCACATTACACACTGATCCTTTAAAACAATCCTTGGCCTAATCGTTGTACAGGCAGGTACAGTTTGAAACAAGACATGGTAGTTTGCAGTAATCATGATGTGGTGCAGTGGTATGAAACTCACCTGTGTTTTGAAGGCTGAGACCAACTGTGAGAGAAGACAGAAATACGTGAGATCAAAACGTCACTATCATGCATCAGAAACAACAAAAAGTGGGGATGAGATTAATACATTTTGCTAGTGCTAAATCAGAGAGCAGAACCTGAGAAGTATGAAGCTGACGTACCGATGCCAGGCGACACCACCCTCTCGTAGTGGTAGGGGTTGACGCAGACGTTGTCGTACTTCAGGTCAAAGGCGTACTGGCAGAACTTGACATGCTTGAGTTCATTTTTGTGGAGGTCGGGCCAGCGCCACAACCGTGCATAAATGACGTGAGGAAAACCTTTCCTCCCCGCCACCTGAGTAGAGATCACAGCATCATGTTAGCCTCCATCATTCTCACCAGAAATACAGTAACGTTATATCTTCAATTGAAAAAAGCCTGCAATTCAGAAGTGATATAACATAATCCTATTAAAGGGGCCCTTTAATGCTAATTTTCTGATTCATTTTAGTATTTAGTGTCTCTACTATGACATCATTCCATGCTTTAATGTTCAAAAAGCTCTTTATTTCTCTCATACTGCCAGTTCTGCAGCACCTCTTTTCACCCTCTGTCTGAAACCAGAGCCCAGTCTCTCTGATTGGTTAGCTGGCCGGCTCTGTTCCGTAGTGATGTCTCTATTGGCGCGTTTCCACTACAGCGCGGAGCCCCGTTTAAGAGGGCTGTGACGTCAGCGGCCCGTCTTTGGTTGCGTTTCCACTTGGCCTAGTACCGGCCGGCGGGTCCTAATTCACAGTTTTTCTGGCCTCATAAAATCGTGGGTCTAGGGCCAGAGACAACGAGGCTGAGTCGGGCTGAGTATGCTAAACTAGAGAGAGAATCGCTGGCAAGGGGGCTACAACTACAACAAGATGGACATATTTGACCGTGATTTAATTGTAATACACGTTTCAAAATGATGCCGAAGTAACAACATACTGATACCGGTTAGTAAAAACCATGAATTAATGCTTTGTCAAGTCTGCAGACAGACGGCAGGCGAAAAACCTTTTAAAATGCGTGTTTTCTAAATGGAGATTGGCTAAGCTAACGCAATATATGCTCCGACCGTCCACACTCACAACAACGGCCTATACAGACATAAATAAAGCAGCGACTGTATTCGCCATGACACAGGCAGTCTGTGGTGTGTACTTGTTTCACTTTTGTCTAGTTTCTGAACATATCTGAGGAGCTGTGAGCTGTGAGTGCTAACAGCTAACGGCTGTGTTGTTTTTCTGGGGTTCTCATTGAAGATGACGTCACGGCTCCGCCTACACTGCGTTACTATAGATACTACCCCAGTTCCTAAACTGTAATGGAAATGCGCCATAAAGTGAGCCAGTCCTAACGAGGCCTAGCCATACCGAGCGAGGCCGAGCGAGGCCGTGTAGTGGAAATGCGCCATAAGTTATGGAAGTAAACAAAGGAGTCCAATGGAGGCATTTCAGGCAATTTTTACCTTTGCAGACATAATAACATGCACAAAAACCTATAGCTCACACTACAAGAGAGGAAACACCCCCCAAAGAATAATAGGGCCCCTTTAAAACATGAAAAATACAATAAATGACTACCAAGAATATCACAAACCCAAAACAAAACGACTAACAAGACTTGCACAGGCAACCCTTATAGCTCTGAACATTGAATACGATTTGAATGGAAAATGACAATGCAAATTAAACTGTGAAAATCCTAATTTAAGAATATTATAATTGTATTTGCAGAAGGAAGAAACCTAGAATAAATGATAACAACAGTGATATGTAATTGTTGCTGCTGCGTGTTAGAGGAGCACCTACCTGCAGCCGTCCATCCAGCGTCCTCTGGATGGTCACACACTTGCTGGGATGTACGCCGTTGGTTGTGATGGCGGTGATGAGCGAGTCCAGCTCGTCCTTCTTCTCCTTCAGCTTCTTCACCAGGCTCTCGATGGCCCGCTTGGCGAAGCCCTCGTTCTCCCCGCCCTGCCTGTGGCACATGAGGCTGTGCACGATGCTGAGGCAGGCGTCATTGCTGCTCGGAGGGTTCACTGACATGATGCTGCTGCCACAACACACAGGAACAGGCTACGTTAGGATTAATGAGCACAAATGGTCAACTCTAACTGGCACTCATACCAGATTGACTGGTACAGATTCTAAACACCCCAACTCCAGAATATACAATTATTCATCATGACGTGAGCCACACGAGAGACTGCTTAGAATGGCAAGTAAGGACAAATGCACTTCAACACCATAGACTTGTCTACAGGAGCAATTGGGGTTAAGTATCTTGCCCAAGGACACTTGCCCTGACTGCAGGGAGTTGGATTGAACTGCACTCCCTCTGATTGGTAGATGCTTATTTGCACCACCGTCACTTCTATGATCTTATATGGGATACCATGCTTGCTTCAGACTGACTTCATGATGGATATTTGTCCAGATAAAGGTTCTGTGTAATGATGCCCCCGGACCCCCCTACAGGATGTGAGGTCCACCTCCCACTTAAATCATGTTCACATGGATAGGATACTAAATACATTTGCACACATCTTGTGTCCATATCTTTCTGTTTGGGTGGTCATGCCACAACCATGCACGTGCATGCATGCGCGAGTGATCTTAATGTGGATTTGGCACACTGATCACATGCCATTTTTTTTTTTAAATGGCACATATCAAAAAGGTTGCTGACCCCTGCTCTAGATGAAAGGAAAGGAGGTTGCAAACTTCCTTTATAACCTCCTTTAGCTTAGGAAACACTGGACCTTCCTTTACGAAAGGAGAGGAGAAAATGCTGGCCCACAATGCCTTGCAGCCGCAGCATTTGCCGTCACACAACAGTCGGCCGTTCACGGAAACAACCGATTATGACCGAGAAATGATATCATGAAAGTTACGGTGCTTATTAAGCATTTTAAAACGTATGTGGTAAGTTGCCAAAGTGCTTTGTTTTGAATGTTCATCAGTATTATAATCAAAAAGAGAAATATGAACGTTAGTTTTTACTGAAATGATCAAATAAAGTCAACATTTCACAGTCTTTACTGAGCTGTGTGGGGTTTGTTCAACTTTGAAAAGATGTTTGAATGGTGATATACACAGTGATAGATGTTAAGGACTAACGTTTATAATAAATACATTTGTATTGATTTTAAGATCTTTTCATACAATCATACGTATTGGGATCATTTGTATTAATGTGGACCGGAGGGAGAGGGTGACGAGCATAAGTTTCACTTTCCTTTTTTATTTCAATTCCAACTTTGGTCATGAAGAATATGTTTCTCTGTTGTCCCCGTTCATAAAGCACAACAGCATCAGAGCACGGTGCAGAGTCTCTAGATGAGTTTACAGTAGTCCCTCGTTCTTATTAAACATCCATGTTGTAGTCCGCTGTATAGAAAACTGTAGTTTCCATAGTTTCCCCACAGCAGCAGACGCACATTTATGACCTCCGCTGGCGCATCATAAACACGTTGGATAGTGAAAGTGCAGTCGATTCTCTAAAGTACCGCAGTCTCTTCTCCTAAGTCCTTTTGAATTCTCCTATCCACTATCCCTTAACCCCGTGACGTTTCACTCAGAGGTCAAGGGATAGACGATAGGGTTAGAATTTAGGAGCTGATTTTTGGATTATTCGACTGCAACCCATGTGTTTAATAGTCTTATGGCCTGTGGGATGAAACTGTCCCTGAGTCTGGTGGTTTTAGTCCGGATGCTGCGGTACCGCCTGCCAGACGGCAGCAGACAGAACAGTTTGTGGCTGGGGTGATGGGGGTCTTTTTTAATCCTGAGGGCTTTCTTCCTGATCTGCTGGGAGTAAAGTTCCCCCATGGTGTGGAGTGGTCTGCTGTGCAGTTTTCACCACCCTCTGTAGAGTCTTACGATTGAGGTCGGTGCAGCTGCCGTACCAGGCCGTGATGCATCCAGTCAGGATGCTCTCTATGGTGCACGTCTGCGTTGTTGGGTCTCGTGTCTCTCAACTTCCTCTTGACAAAACCCCATAAAGGTTTAGCTCAGGCCAGTTTGCTGGCCAATCAAGCACAGTTATTCCATGGTCATTAAACCAGGTCTTAGTACTTTTGGCAGTGTGGGCAGGTGCCAAGTCCTACTGGAAAATGAAATCAGCATCTCCATAAAGCTTTTCAGAGGAAGGAAGATTATCGTATCCAGGACATGGGCTACAACTGTCGAATTACTCGTGTCAAGTCACTCCTGAACCAGAGAACATCAGAAGCGTCTTACCTGGGCTAAGGAGAAAAAGAACTTGCTCAGTGGTCCAAAGTCCTCCTTTCAGATTCAAGTACATTTTGCATTTCATTTGGAAATCAAGGTCCCGGAGTCTGGAGGAAGTGTTTGGAGGCACAGAATCCAAGTTGCTCGAGGTCTAGCTTAAAGTTTCCACAGTCAGTGATGATTTGGGGAGCCATGCTGATGCTGTTGGTCCACTGGGTTTTATTAACTCCGAAGTCAACGCAGCCGTCTACCAGGACATTTTAGAGCACTTCATGCTTCCTTCCTCTGAAAAGCTTTATGGAGATGCTGATTTCATTTTCCAGCAGGACTTGGCACCTGCCCACACTGCCAACAGTACTAAGACCTGGTTTAGTGACCATGGAATTACTGTGCTTGATTGGCCAGCAAACTGAGCTGAACCTTTATGTGGTTTTGTCAAGAGGAAGTTGAGAGACACGAGACCCAACAACGCAGACGAGCTGAAGGCTAACATGCTAAAGGAGGCCAAACCAAGTACTGAGTGTATACACAATGAACATACTTTTCAGAGGGTCGACATTTCTGTATTAGAAATCTGTTTTTGTATTGGTCTTATGTAATATTCTAATTTTCTGAGATACTGAATTTTTGGTTTTCATTAGCTGCGAGCCGCAATCATCAAGATTAAAACAAATAAACGCTTGAAATAATTCACTTTGTGTGTAATGAATCTATTTAATATATGAGTTTCACCTTTTAAATTGAAATACTGAAATTAATTAACCTTTCCACGATATTCAAATGTATAGAAACAATGTAAATAAAAACTCTAGAGATATTTTATCACCTTCCCTCAATCACAGCACTCAGCTCTTACATTTCTAAATCAATCATAGATATGAGTTATCATCTGTAAACAGTTGCTAACTACAATTCACTTCTAGTCCTCTCTGTACCCCATGTCCACATTCCAGAAGAAGCTTGGATTTTAGGCAACAACAGCGCTAAGGTTTTCTGATTGAACATCCTTAAAGCTAGCATGCTTACTGATTATCTTCCCACTATCTAAAGTGTCAGAGATGACAGCTCCCAGGTCACACTAAGGAAAGTTAGAGTTCTCAACAACACAGACACAAAGAGACAGACTATAGAAACAATAGTATATGCTATATAAACTGTATATTATGTGCTAGTAAAACATAATGTATGATGTTCGGGTATTAAGCATGGTGTTCAGCGTCACATACAGTATGTCATAATGTGTACTCACATTAGAACTATTTCTTGACCGTGAGTATATGTGCTTGTATATGCATTTATATACCGTACCATACACATTTCTTAGAATATTTGTACCGCCTTTATATTAGCCTTTGTACCTTTCATCAGTTTGTTGCTAAATGCAGTGCATGGGGAGATGGCCCTGTAAGGATGGGAAGCTTAAAGAACGCATCATTTCTCTACTGCGCTTCTATTGTCACACAAAACTAGATGTTCAAGCCACAAGATTCCCTCTAGGCGCTCCTGGGATATCGCTTTCACACGAATGGGATGGATGGACAAAGGCCCAAAAATAAAGCTGCCAACACCAATGATGAGGGTCAAGAGCACTGAACATTTGGATGCTTGGTATGACCTTAATGAGCACGGGCATGAATTGGTAGTGTCAGGTAGGACCTTTGAAGGAAGCACAAGATAACCCTTGTGTATACTGAGGATTTTGGTCTACTGTAAAGTTTGATCTATTTGATGAAATATAAAATGTTGGGCTTAGAGAACTAATAGTTCTCTACCGTTTGCAAACGTCTTTGATAACTATTAATCAGAGAAAGTCTATAGTTCAGTATGTCAGTCACAAAACTTGATATCAAAAAACCAACCAGTCACTGAGTTCTGTACAATCTGTAGAGCTTTTAAAGAGATTTGATTAATACTCAAGGTGTGCTGAAATGTTCAACGCATCTGCATCTCTAAAAGTTCAAATATAGCGTGTGGGAAACACCTCAAATCTCTAGTGAAGATGCTAAGATGGGGGAGATAGCCCTCCATCTGCTGGCAACATAACATTATGTTTGCTGCTTCCTGTATCTTAGGGAATATTTGACTGACACAGTGCATCAGTAGATATGATCTGTTTTTGGGGTCTAATAGTCCAGGGCACTATCAAAAAAATCATATTATAATTGTGTAGTTCCACTATAGATATTTCCCAGTCAGTTCAAAGCACATTGGAACAGCTTCAAACCTAAAGCCCTTGTTTAACATCTGTGTGTAACAGTTGTGGAGCCAAGTAAAGTCAGCTACAGTAAATCCACCTGATCAGATGACCAATCACTGACATGAACACACATCATGAAAGGCATTCCTCATACAAATGAGTGTAAACCTTGCACATTCCTCTGTATATGTTGCACATCTCTGTTCAATGCTCACTCTTTTAAATCTTTACACCTTTTACACTATAAATTCTGTAATACTGCATATTTTGTTTTTCAGAGTAGTTTGCCATATACTTTGTGTACTTACTTTTTGGTATATTTCTTGAATACTTTCTTTCAATTTTACAATAGTTTTAAAAAAAGCTTTTATAATAGTTCTATATTTGCTGCATTTGTTTGACTTCATTGTCCTTATTGTGTTATGTATGCACCACTATACACCAAAGCATATTCCTTGTATGTGTAAACTTAGCAATAAAGCTGGTTCTGATCCTGGTCCAAATGCATATTAGCTACCTTACTTTTAGTTATGGTATTTCCAAGGTATGACACTTTGTTGCTGTCATGTGTGTTTGCTGTCTTGCTTACCTGGTATTAAGTTGGTCGGCCAATGAGTGACCAGAAAGTTCCCCAGCATCGTGATGGCCAAGCTCTGAGTCAGTCCCTGTTAGTGGAGCGGAGAGCAGGAGTTAGTAGATTCCAGTTAGGTGTGGAATCCAACAGAAATCAGAGAGTAACAACGGTACAAAGAGGAATAAGGACCTTTACTAGTCAATATGTAACACCAGAATAATACCAATAGTTCATCACATTGATTTTCATATCGTCTGTGCATATTAGCTTTGTATGTGCTTTTGTGTCTGTTGTGTGTTAATGGGTTTGTATATTAGGGCTTTTCATTGGGCGTAAGTGCTCTATATGTGCTGCAATCGTGCGTCAATTGTGCTCGTGTGTGTTTTCTGTGCTTATGTGCTCGTGTGTGTTTTCTTCAAATGCCATCAACCTGTCAGGGACTGCCTCTATGGCTAAATCTGTGATCTTCTCAGATAAATAAATATAAATACAATAATAATAATAATAATAATAATAAGAGCTGCACAATTTGGAGAAAATGCAATATCAATCATATTGATTGATATTGCAATTGTAATATTATTCGCGATAATAAAGGGAATCATGCAAAATGCACTTTTGTACATAGTTATCGAAAAAGAAAAGAAAGTGATCATTATGTTATATTTTTAAGAGTGTCTGTACCAAACCGTTTATTTAATTTAGTCTGTAGAATAAAGTTATTAAGAATGATATGTTCACCTTTTATGCCTTTGCCAAATATTGCACTTACTATGACCCTAGTGGATGAATTTGTGCAGCCTTTATCATACCAATAATAATGTGTATCTACTTTGTGAGTGACACAAAGGGAATTGTGTCCCGGGTCTGAAAAAGCACTGACTCTTACCATTTCCCATATTGCAAAGAGATGAACGTCTTCGATCAGACCTCTTTACATTTGACACACTCTCAGTTTGTAACACAAGTTATATTCTAAACTAGTCTCCATATGCAAACCGAGTCACCAAACCTTGATGACAGTATTTAGCTTTTTCTCCAAAGTGCAGAATATGCAAACAAATGTAATACATGATAGGTCAACGTAATACATTGGTGTCAAATGGATACAATGTAAATGTTTAAAATTTATTTGTATTATCAGCTAAATCTACTTGAACAATCCAAAGCAATGGTAGCCTACTTGCATCATTATGAGCTCCTCACATACACCCTGCACATTTCAGCTGATTTCAATCTGATCAAACTAAAATGACTAGGCATAGGCTTTTATAAATAAATAAAAATACTAGTACTGATTTCAGCTCATTGAGATTGTATGGAGCCTGTACATTTATCAATTAATCCAATTGAATGATAATAAAAAAGAAATTGAATAAAAATAACAATTGTTTTATCAGAAGTAGGGGAAACTTGGTGGGGAGGATTACAACTAGTTTATAAGATGTGTTATCAAATATGTTTTGCTGCTCCAGACATATTGTATTTGCTGGCAAAATGTCTCTTTTGATGGTAAAGGTCTCTGACCAACGAAATGTGGTAATTACCCATACCATTTAAAGAAGATTATATATGAAAAGTTGTATTTATTTGTACAATACTATTATAGTATGATTTATTGTACAAAACTGTTTTAATAACAGTTTGTGTCACACAAATATGAACTGCGACCTTACAGGGTGTGAATACTGTACTGGTGACTAGGAGATTGCAACCAAACATACATCTCATTTTATTTTTTATATTAAAATTGCTTCAATAATGATGTTTCTTTTTACAAAATGTCAATCAGAACATGTGAATTCCTTTATTAGTCCTGCAGCGGCGAGATGTACAGCGTTACAGCAGAAGTCACGAAGCAGGTGAAAAAGGCAATAAATGATAAACAGTACGCTAACATATTAAATATAGAGGGAAAGCACACATTAGTAATAGAAAGGAAATGAAAGGCTAATAAGTACTCATCCATGGATACAAATGATTAGCAGCATTATAATAGCTAAGTGAACATATTAAGGTTTTGAGTTATATAAAAGGATGTTTTGCTCATAAATATGATTATTGCACAGTAGAATTGCACAAGGTGTTTGTATTGCAATGTATTCAATCTGCCCTTCCCTATCTGCTCTCTAACTTCTTCAGAAAGGAACATGTTACATTGTGAAAGTAGCTATTGCAGTGTTCATTCACAACACACAGTTATTACAAAACAATAAACAGTCTTTCAATTTCGCTTTTTGTCTCAACAAGCATAGTATTCTTATAATATGTATTGTATTACAATAATATTAGAATTCTATTTATTTATGCAATAATAGTATAATTTATTGTCAAAAACTGTTTTTCGTTACACTCCAGTAAATATGAACTGCAACCTTACATACATGAGACATGCATGAACTGCAACCTTACATACATGAGACATGCAACCTTACATACATGAGACATGCAACCTTACATACATGAGACATGCAACCTTACATACATGAGACATGCAACCTTACATATATGAGACATGCATACATCTAGTTACTGATGTTTACATTCACATCATTTATTAAAGCTCAATACCCCATGCATCATGCAGGCCTAAGCATGCTGTCACCTGTTACCTGTGACTGACACACACACGCACGCACACGCACACGCACACGCACACACACACACACACACACATACACATACACATACACATACACATACACACACCTTCCATGTCTGCTCTCAAACATCATCATACGGGTCCTAACGTGTAGCCCCGCACTTCAAATGAGAACTTGGTCTGTGTTCCATACATGCACTTCACTGACATACCACACTGGAACCCTATATAAATACATGAGACATTTGAATGCGGACTGATGTATCTGACTGCTTGATAGAAGGAACTCGATACAGTACATGGAGAAGCAGAAACAGTACAATGTCGGCCAGTGTGAGAGACTCAGACAACAGAAGAGTGGACAGGAACAGGTTACTTTACAGTAAGCAACAATTTAGCCAGCTAATGTGCCTGTCTGACTTCCCCCTCATTTTCCCGGCTCTCCTGGTTGCAACACTAGTGAGGACAGGGGTAGGAAAAGATGGAGACCAATAGTTTGTACTTACACATCAGCCGGAGTGGATAGAAGAAGTTGGGCAGAAAGATAGCAAGCCGTACGTGTGGTCTGTGTTTATACTCCTTTGTATTAATCCTATGTAACGAACCGCTGTGCCTTTACGCGGCTAATGTCTCCCTAAAGTCCTGTAATGTAACGAGCTAGTGTTTATTTCCCGGCTTTCTAGGCTAAAGCGCTAGCTTGATGTTTCTCGGTTGTTTTATCCTTTTATCAGCCCCACTGTCTCCTCGTGCATCCTGTCTGTTCCCCTCGCGCACGCCACAATAACAATAGAGGGGAGACGTCGTGCGCGTCAGTGTCTCGACATGCTGTAGCCAATAGGCGCTCAGCTCTCACAGGGACCACCGCGTTCAGCCAATCACGTACAGACTCTCACAGCAGGGCCGCGAGCTAGGGTCTGTCTGGTTCGTCTAGATTGACAGGTCTGCGAGACTGTTTTTTTAAGGTGGCGCCGCTGAGATTACCCCCCCACCCCCCTTCCCAAACATACACACACGCACATCAACACGCACACATTCACGCATACACACACGCACACGAACTGCAACTGTTATTTGAGAAACAGAGGAAAACGATGCCTATGTCTGTGACCCCTAATCCTCAATTGAAGAGTTAATGGAAGAAATGTTTAGTTTAGATTTAGAAATCCATGGCAAAAAATGCGTTTTGCATTGCGGTGTTTATTCATGTTATCTTCAAGAAGAGGACGAAAGATCCACACTGATTGGATAAACTGATATTCCAAAACTATTTGACAATATGTTTTATATTGCTATTTCAAGAACAATGATCAATAGATATTCCAAATGTTGCCATGTAATGTGGATATCCATTCAATCTAAAATGTCAAAACTTTGCAGAAAAGTTAGACTTTGCATCTGATATAATATACTGGCCAGATGCTAGCTCTATTTTTTAACGTTGTCTTACTTTTCCATAAAACTAGGCCCAAATATAATAAGGAGTTTAAAAGGAAACAGTGCGACCAAGCCTCTCTATAGTGCTGTAATCTGGACATCAGAGAACAAAGTGCTGAGGACAGATACACCCTCAGCGTGTTTTACACTCTGTCCAACACCGCCATGTTTGGAAATGCATAAACATTAGAGGAAGCACTGCAGCGCATTAAGCAGACAGAGATTCACTTGTGTTGCCATCAGAAGCTTGGAGAAATGTCAAGTTAAACACATCAAATCAAAACTTCTTTGAGTATGTGCTAACTTTCATATAATGCTTTTTAAAAACTAATTTGAAGTCCAAATATTATATAATTTAAAAAGTGAACATGTTTAAGAAGGAAAAGGAGAGCAAAGTGGCTCAGTTATTGAATGGCGTGAGATTAGAGTCATATTGAATCAGAAATGGATATTGGTCGTTCTTACCAGAGCTTTTGTCTTATTTTTTAAGGATTGACATCCCTTAATGACATAGGACCTGATTCAAGTATCAGTGAATATAACATGATATACGTCACATCTAAGCTAGCAGCCATGTATTTAAGGCTAAGAAATAAAACAGCATTTTAACACCTCAAACAAATGCAAGAATTAACACTACTGCATATTTTTGATGAGAAACAAGAGAACTGCAGTAAATATTTACACTGGAATTCAGGCTCTTTTAGAACACATCAAGTGCTGCTGCTAGTGCTAGAGCACTCAGAACTCATTTCTGTAGGGCCCATAGATCTTTAGGAAGCAGTCAACTAGTAGAACCTTAGGCTGGACACAGATGGAACTCTAATGTGTCAAAACCTGGCAACTTCCAAATCTAAATAAAAAACTAGTTATCCTTTGCGTGAATGGTTTCTCTACTGTAGTTCCAAATACTTGGCCACCTTTGGTGCAACTTACAACTTACAGCTGCTTTAGTTGCGGTTCTGCTCTATTCTCTTTGTATTTGAAGTACTCTGTTTTGACACATTTTCAGATTCAAATATATTATTAAACAAATTATTTTAAATGACTAAATGTGCTTTTATTTGCTCTTGTACTTCGAATGTATTCAACTTATACATTTGAAACATTTAAAATACGTTAACATGTAGGTTCTTATGAAGGCACAATTTAATCAAGTTATAAACGTATATAGCTTTAATAACTATTTAAGGTGTTAGTTCTTCCTTTATCACTGATACAAGAAGAGAAGCAGGATTTCTGATGATCTGACAAACAGAACATCCACTTGTTGATGAATGCAGTTCAGAGCCTGCAGGAGGACTGTGCTCATGTAGAAGCCATGTGAACAAATTATCATACATGTATCGTCAGAACAGTTCCTGCTCTAGTTCTAGTGTAAGCCAATACAATATTATACTTTGATAGGATAGTGCAGTAGATTATAAGCAGCACAGGGGCAAGAAGTACACTTGATTGAAATATTCAGAACAATATTATTTAATAACATTAAGTGCAGCAAGGTTTATAGATTGGAAAATAGCTTGGAAGTAGTTTCTCAATGCTTCACAAATGGGACTAAATTCATCATGAATGTTGCATTGGGTCACCAGATTGCTGTGAAGGGTAATACATCTAGTAATCATGCATCACTTGTGAAGTAACTGCATTCTTGTATTGACTCTTAAGTGGAATGTGAACAATGGAAACATTGCAGAACACATGGCATATCACAATAACAGCAGTAACAGCACAGCGATTAAAGGACAACAAACCCATTGCCCAATCATACCTACTCATAGTGCAATCATAAAGGTCTTAAAGCTCTCTAAATTCATCCATAAGTGTGATACATAAGGTGGGACATCTATCAGGCGTGTTGTAAACCACTGCTTGTTACAGTTACCTGAACCCATTCTAAACTGCAACTAAGGTAGTTAGATAAAAAAAAAGTGAATTTCATAGAAAGCTAGTCAGGTTTGTGAAGCACCGTCTCCCAGAACCAGAGCGTAAAGTTGGCATGAAGACATTCTAAGAACAATTCAAGCATGTTATTATGGCTTTGGAATTTAACTTGCATGCCGAGTGTGATAAAAGTTTTTTTATTTTTATTTTTTACATGCCCATTACATGGGTTTAAGCATTTACCTTATCTGTAGAATCAATCTGCTGATACTGTAAAGCTGATTCTGTTGTCTGTCAGTCTTACGCTTAGCAGATGGCAGACAGGATCTTTATAATGCCAAAATCAGAGCAGTTCATTAGACAGACTGCTAACTAAATGTCAAAGGACAGCGTGTCCTCCTTGTGTTAGTTCAGTAGTGATCAGGACAGTCCGCAGAGCTGGAGGCGGGGCTCAGGGTTTGCTGGGGGAGCGGGAGGGGAACGCTCCCGAAGCCTCCAGCATGGTCTTCCTACGGGCCGTCTCCTTGGCAACATTGTGGTTGAGTCGCCTCAGACGTTCCTAGGGACACAATAATAATGTTATGTTTGTTTTGTTTAACAGTCTGTGTGCTTTTCTGACTTTAATCTTGGTCGGTAATTAAGGAGGTGATACTTGTAGTTATGGCAGGTTATAACGTGGCTTAGTTGAATACTAGATTCCAATTGGTCAATTTGGACATTCAGCGGTCAGCTCGATTGCAAAAAGAGACTATTGCTAAAGCAGTCTGATCAAGGGACTATGTGTAGTACGCTCAATTAAACATCAGCGGTGGCCCAAAAAAAAAAAAGTGTTTTCTTTTGTCAGAAAACACAGTGGAAAACTGTTTGGATATTCATTTGTATATTTGTGGAAAGCACAACATTTTGGATTCATAATGGTTAAGTGTCTTCCATAAAGAAGGTGACACAGATAAGAAAAAGCACCAGAGAAGGAAGAAGGTTAAAGACACAGAGAGCTGGAGGACAGAGAAATTGGAAGAAGACAGACAGGAAGTAAACACTAAAGGGGACACAGTACAAGGGAACACACTCTTTTGCTCTGGCAATGTTTAAGGACTGGCTAACAGAAAAGAAAACGTGAAGACACTTGGACAGTCCTGCTGCACATTATCTCTCACATAGTGATAGTAGGATATACTAGAAGTACTTGAGTATTTGTATAGTAATGTCACCGGTAGAACTAATAATGAGAGGTCAAACAGGTAGTCATAGAGAAGTTGTTGGTAGTAGTGGTTGTACAACTAAGACGAATTCTATGACAGTAGTCATAGCAGTGCAGTAGTAGTGACATTAGGAGCTGTGCAACTGATGAATCCAAGTTCAATATATTTTTCTCTTTTAGCTATGTTAAACATCTGTCTATTTGGCTACTAAACTCTTTAGTATGTTCGCCAGCTAATCTCTGACTGTCTGTCTGCTGCCGAGGTTGTGTACAGTGGCTTTTTACAGCCTTTTCTCAAAAGGAAATCAGTGTAGTGAGAGCAGCGTTTACAGGCCAGAAAACCAAAACAGTCCTGTAGAGCGGAGGGACACTGCAGAATCAAAAAAGTACAGTCATTGTTCAAAAACATGAATACGTGCTGTTTTAAGAAGTCACACAACAAAGACTTGCCACTGACCTGAGCATTCTGCAGTATATTGTTCACTAGCACTACTCTACGTCTTGCATTCAGCAGCTTCTTTACATAAGGGTCCAGGTCCAGAGCCACCTTCTGATGTTCATTTATCCGGCATAACTCTGCAAAGAGTGGACATTAAATGACACAAAAGAACATACCAAAGTTAGCAAAGATGCGGTTTAATGTACATTGTACATTAAAAAAACAAAAACACATATCTAATTAATCAGAATCACTTTAATGGCAAGGTAAGTGTTTAAAAATACACATTGCATTTAATGTGCTGTATTCACAGAAATAGATGTACAACTAAAATAGGATAACACAGTTTGATTAGGGCTGTACATAATATGGAATGATTAATGACAGGTTGCCTTATATACCTCATGTAATGCCTCAGTAGATGGATATGATGGTGTGCACTGATGCTAATGTTTATATAGACAGTAATGATATATTTAACATATTCAAACAAACCTTAGAATTTGAACTATGCAAATAGTAGCCTACTGGTACGCTGGTTGTTTGCTCTATTCTATTGACAGCATGACTATCTGGTAGAAATTGTTCTTGTGTATTAGGGCAGTTCAATTAAATATACAAGACAAGCAAGTCTGGGATTTAACAAACACAAAATAAATAAATGAATAATCAAAATTGTACCTGTGGCCAGATTATCTATATGCTCTCTCAATTCTACCTGGCTTTCTCTGCAAAGAAAGAAGAATCGCATTAATCCAGAAATACCCCTCCTCCAACCCACATAGCTCTTTTCACAAGCTGACATACACAATCACACTCACTGCTGGTTACAGTTGGTTTTGCAAGTATGAGTGGGGATGTAATATGATTTAATGATAACCATTTTTTATTTAATTATTGTATTTATTATTAGTGTTTCATATTTTTTTTTTATACATGTTATTTTTTTGGGAGGAAGTACAATTTTCTGTTATATTGAAATTCGGGAACCCCCACTCATACAAAAGAATCGCATTAATCCAGAGGATACAAAGAAGCGAATCCTCAGGATGTTATGGGTTCAGTCACAGAACAGCTGGGCAGGTTAGGTTTACTCATCATTTAGAAGCGGAAACGCAATTAATTCAACATGACAAAGGTAGTACCCAAGTGACACATACTGCTGCAGACTAAGGGACATTAAATGTGTACTAATCTGATTTAAAAGTTAACATTTTGATTGTGAATCATAAAGGAATAACACCACCGGGTGACATCTCCCAGTCACGAGACTTCAATGGACTCACAGCGGCTGCAGCTCGTATGAGGTATGACAGCAGAGCCGCCTGGAAGAATACATAACGTCACCTAAATATTAAATAATAATGCGCATTTACCTGACTGAGTGTACATGCAGGTCAAGCTGCTGAATAGCTGGTTTCAAAACGTCTAGCAAACCCTCTGCTACAGCATCTTTGCCCGAGGGAGTAGCCACTACAGCCGAGGAAGCCATTTTGATATACCGTAAACAGGGCCAGACCGGAAGCTACGTCATCGTGACGTTGGAGACATAAGGCGCTCTCCATTTTCTTACGGTGAACCGTCTTTAGCTAGCAGCACCATTTTGGGAAGACGCACTGTTAAACCCTGTCTGCAGCATTATTTCAATATTCTGGGATTAACAGACCCACTAGAGTTAGTTCAAATCTTACAGCGCGTAGTTAAGAAGGTAGCTTTTTGTAGTTTATATTTAAACACAAGAAAACAAGGACACCGTGCCGTACCTGCTAGCTAGCTACCAAAGCTAACCATAGCTAGCTGTAAGGCTTTTCTCGACCGACGCCACAATCACTGTAAGTAACAACATATAAATAGTATTGTAGGAATATTAATTGTAATTGACTTTATCAAGTGCTTTAGCAAAAAACAGTGGCAAAAAACAAGTCCACCCGTTTGTTTTGTTTGTAGTTTCTTGGGCTCGAGATAAATGACATGTAAACGCTTCTCTGCAGAGGTGGAAGAAGTACTCTTTGTTTATTTGTTTACTTAGTAAAAGTAGCTTTTACTAAATACTCGTGTTACAAGGGCCTGCATTCAAAACCTAACTTTAGTAAAAGTACTCAGTATTGGCATCAACATTTGACATAAAGTGCCAAAAGTCAAGTTCTCATTGTGCAGAATGGCCATTTTCAGAATAATATATATAATATATGCATTTTAATTATTGATCCTCTAATGTGTCCATCATTTCATTTGTTCAGCTAGTAAAGGAGGAGGCCAGTTGATATAAACTTAAGACAAAAAGTAAGGACATTTATGTTTGGTAGATATTTTCTTTGTTGTATCAATGCTTTTTGGCAATACATCTTATACCGTTGGAAAGCCTGTTAAGTTACCTTTCAAATGGTGCCACATTTGGGAGGAACAAGCATTGAGTTGAGATGAGCAGCCTAGCTGAGTATGTGGGTTGCGCCCATGAAAAATGTGACAATCTCCAAATCTGGTATATTTATTATTATAATAGGAACGTGAAAGCTTAAACTATTAATTTAGTGGATTAAAAAAAGTAAAGCATTTGCTTCCAATTTGTAGTGAGTACAATTATAGAGTACCATCACATTTTAATACTCAAGTAAAGTACAAGTACCGGAAAATTATACTGTTACTTTCCACCCCTGCTTTTCTGTATTCTTGAACTAAAACTATACGATTAAATTAAGGTCTAGCGCTTCCCTGACATAGCTAGCTGAGTAAAATACCTGACAAGTTTTAACCACAGAGCAATGTACTGATACAAACTACCTATTCCCTCTCACACACTGACACATGCCCTGAAGCAGCTGTTGGGTTGGAATTAAACCTCTATGTTCTCACCACTCCCTGGCACATGAGAAGGAAACCCGTTTGTCTCTGTGATATCTGGCCAGGCAGCTGTTGGAATATTTGACCTGGCCTACCCTGAAGCCTTACAATTGATTGTTGCATACTGGCCACCATTTTGTGATTAGGTACACATTAAATGTTAGTCGTGGCCAGTGTTGTAATTTAACATTACAATTACATTGAACAAGAACTTTTGTTACCCATTTTGTCTGCATTTCCTATGATCGTCTCCAGTCAGTGGAAATTAATATGGGGTGTTTCTTTGACTATTTATAGACAAACATCGGCATTACTTGTCGGCAAAAGCTGCGTCTTATTGCGAGTTGATATAAGAATATTGTTCTGCGTAAGCACCTCCTGTGTTTCGTCCGCACGCCATCTTGTCACATGAATCCTTCTCAAAGTTTTAATAATGAGGCCCCTGGTATTTTCTCGTGACGCATCAAAGACACTTACTCTATCGGATTGTAGGGTCATGATCATGACTATCTCCAGAGAGCACTTCATAACAGTTAATAAGCTACAGCTTGTGGTGCAATGTAAAGTTTAATGTTCTTTTATGATAATGTGTTATTGCCGTGTACATTTGGACTGCCAGTAGAACTTTTTTTATTTCTGTCTTTCTGTTTGCAGGAGCCTGCAAGCGAAGTCAGAATGAGTGCACCCTCCTCCCAAAAAGTGGTCCTGAAAAGCACCACCAAGGTGTCCCTGAATGAGCGGTGAGGCGCCACGCACCCTGTCAGCAGTTACACACCAGATGCAAGGGCCATCCTTGGCTTGTGAAGGTTCTAGTGCTCCCTACGGAAGGCTACTGTCGGGGACCGGACCTGACATGGAGGCTATTCTGACTGTCCCCTGTGTGTGCACTGCTCACTCAACCATGTTGGTCCTGTCAATATTTCTTGGGGCAGATGTGATATTAACAAGGAGCACACAGTGCTGGCCCAGGCCTAATATCTTTTGTGAGCAGTGCACACCTCTAGACAAGGGGAGAGGGTAAAGGTCATACTGGGTAAGCCCAGGTTATCCTATGCTGGACCAGGCCGCTGTCCTACAAATGCCCTGGCACTCATGCCTCCTGTTACCTTAAACAGCACAGTATGCGTCAAGTATACAGCACCCCTATAAAGGGGGGAGGAAGGCTTAAGCTAAACGAGGAAGATGGGGCCCCACCTTTCTGCCTCTCTCAAACCAGTGGAAGTGAAGCACATGCTCCTTTCTTCTTCTCTCATTCTGTCTCCACTAAGTCTATCAAAGACCTGGTACTCGGTCCTAGCTTGGACGTGACAAGAGCTCCCATATCCCCCTCCCTTCCCTTCCCTCCCGAGTCTCTCAGTGGTTTGTACCACGCGTCACGGTCCATGCTGTAAGTGGCTGGGTGGCCAGGCACTCCTCATGTCCGAGGCCTCTGCTGCTGCAGCACGATGACACCCCCAGCCGGGCAGCTGGAGGCCTGTAAGTGGCAAAACGCACTCTTCTTCTGGTACCTTCTCTCTGCTACTGTTCTCCAGTCTGTCTTTGCACTGTGAGTTTTTCTTCATCTAAGTTTGCATATCTTGTGCTTGTTTGAAAACAAATGCTAAATCGTTCTGGATGTTCATGATTGAGAGAGAAATTGAGAGCCAACAAGTGGAACATAAGTCTTGCATATAAAACAGCCATCACAGGCTGTGTGGCTTCACCATAATGTGAGACTTGACTTGATGTGGAACCTGCTTCCTCCTCTCTATATCCCCTGTCCCCTTCTTTTACTTCCTCCGTCTTTTTCCCCTCCTGCCTCTAAAGCTTCACTAACATGCTGAAGAACAAGCAGCCTGCTGCTGTTAGCATCCGAGCCACCATGCAACAGCAACATTTGGCCAGTGCCCGCAACCGCCGGCTGGCCCAGCAGATGGAGAACCGGCCCTCAGTGCAAGCTGCTCTCAATCACAAGCAGGTGAGGGCAAAGGTCCGACCAGAGCTTTGGTTGGAACCATGTTGAGCCACTATGTAAATTGAAGGTATACCGGCACTGACGCCTATAATATAAAAGTTAATAGAACTGTAACTTGGTAATGCTAAGATTAGGGATGGCAGTTTGGTTTTCATTTGATAACGTAACTAGATTGCCCGATTTCAACTTGAAACCTAATGAGTAAGAAAAAGTGTATATCTGGTGAACTTCAACCTGCATGAATCAATTTTAAAATGTTTACAATGAAATTATTGTGTAATGAGAGTTATTAATCATAGTGCCAATATCAACCTAACTCTTTGAGCTCATTGTTTGTGGTTTTATTACCCCTAAAATTGTGTTTTTGTTGCTATAAACCCACTGCCTATCTATGGCAAAAGTGGTTGGTTTAGTCTAACCTTTACAGTGAATTTTCTTGAACGCAACACAAATGGATCCTTTCATCACTAACCAGAGGAACATCTGCTCTAAGTCAATTGATCACTGACCAAGTTTTTAAGGGGTTCCACTTCTTATAATCGGGTTGAATTAAAACATAAATGCAATTGCTATTGACAATAGCATGCTAGTTTAAACAATATTGGGTTTGTGACGATTCTCCCTCAACAGTTAATGGAACTTTGTCAGATAAGGTTTTAGGTGCTATCGACAACCTTAGCTAATTAAATGTAGAGTCGAGTCGAATGCTGTTCAAATGTACCACAAATCAACTCTGACAGTTAAAAGTACCCTTGGCAGAACCGTGGTGTCCTGGGTTTAAAAGAAGGCACTTGTTTGCTAACAGGTAATTCTCATAATCTATGAAAATAAAATGGTTTAGAACCTGTTTTACTTTAATGTTATGTATGCTTATTGGTGACTGAAAAGGGATTTATTCACCAGACAGTGCTTGACTTACATGTTGCTATAGTGAGATGATGAATGTGTAGGCAGGCAATCCAGTTGGAATGACAGCTACTAAAACAATGCTCACTGTAACACTGTTAAGAGTTATCATATGAAGAACCATTTAGTCTTTGGTCGAGGTGAAAGTGCTCCTCCCTGATTGGCCAATGCAGTGCCTTGCCAGATTCTTGATGCAGCCAAGGCTGAGCCTGGTTCAACCTTTTTTTGTGGCACCACCACTACATTGACAGACAAACCCATTATCCTTTAAAAAGAATAGGTACAATGGTTAAAACATACTACCCTGTGGGGAAGAAAAGCAGATCCAAATACTAGTATACAACATAAGTACAGTCATGTTAAAGGTGCGTAAAAGAGAATCACTGTTGACATTGTTGCTTCTAAATAAGCTTTAACTTAACACTTGAAATAAACAATGATTGGGGAAATTAGGTCCATTAGTGTGCTGCCCTGAAGGAAAGACAGTTGTCCCCATAGCTGCACTTCTCACAGCTCTAGTTGATGTAGAAGTGAAACCAGACAGTGCAGGAAGAGCTAGTAATTTAACCTATACAGACACTATAGTATTGAAAAGGGTTTTCCAGCCAAGCAGAGAGTATTTTTCTCAATATGGCAATAGGCGCTTTCACACCGGAGTACTTTTCCCAGGAATAGTTCCGATAGTTCCTGGGATTTTGCGTTCACACCAACTAGATCTGGAACTAGAACTTTTTTTCTGGAACCTTTTCAGTCCCTGCTAGAGAGGTGGTACTTTCCTGGGGAGGAAAAGGTTCCAATTTCTGATTGGCTGGGCGAATTGCAAACCACGCCCCGTAAAACTACGAAAAGTTCTGTGAAGCCGCCATTTTATTTGCTCGCATTAGCATTAGCCCAGCGGAGAGAGACTAACTTATGGCAACACAAAATAAAAGGTGGGAGCGGTGGAGTGATGAGGAGGTGTCGGCGCTTCTGGCGATTTACCCAGGACTTCGGGTGGCGATTTACTGCCACCCGAAGTTGTTTGGGGCCTGCCAGTAAACCCAAAGCAGAAGAAGAAGTGACGTTGGCGGCTTCATTTGCGTGATCCTCCCTCAGGGACTTATTCCGGTGTGAACGCGATCTACTAGGTAGTTCCCGGAACTCAAGAGTTCCGGGAAAAGTACTTGGTGTGAAAGCGCCTATTGAAAGTGAGTGGTCTTCTGTCTAAAGTTGTACGTGCTTCTTTGTATAATGACTCCCTGAGTTTTAAAGTTGAGGTGTGTGTTTTTGACTACTTAATCAGACAATGTATGATGTGAGAGAACCATGGAGGGAAAGAGCTCAGCTACTTTTCTAAAAACAGAACTTTGTTAAGCTGAACTTTTACATTTCACTTTGTTATTGTTTTTGCTACCGAATGTTCTGTAAAATGTCAAAGGCCCTTTTTCAAACTCTTGTTAAAAATTATTCATGGGTTTGAACGTTGTGTTTAAGTGCTTATAACAACCATGTGTAGGATTTTACTCATATTTGCCGCCCTACATTTTTAACAAAGTCATACTTGCGTCCGTGAATAACTTGTGTCAGAGCCTGAAGCAGCGCCTGGGGAAGAGCAACATCCAGGCCAGGCTGGGCCGGCCTGTGGGGGCTCTGATGCGGGGAGGAGCTCCTGGAGGCAGAGGAGGGATGAGAGGGATGAACAGGGGAGGCCTTCGAGGACGAGCAAGAGGAGGAGTAATGAGAGGTGCCTTGTCCCTGAGAGGTGTGTGTCCACAACATCACACTTTCATCAATAAATACATCATTGTCTTCACTGTCGAACCTGGGTGTAGCTCTGTTGTAATGTGACTTTGTGTGGCACAGGGAAGAGAGTGGCTTCTACAGGCGGGCCCATGCGAGGTCGTGGCTCTGCGGGGCGCCTGGCGATGCGCAGAGCAGGCCGTAACCGCGGAGGACCTGTAGGCAGAGGAGGAGCTCTGTCCAGAGGAGCTGCACGAGGAGCTGCACGAGGAGTCGCCGCCAGAGGTGAGAGTGCTAATGGTTAACTCTCTATAAAGAGCGAGGTCAGACCCTGAAGTTAGCATTGCTAGGGATCCTTATACCAAAAGCCAAAGGGATTTTTCCTTTGGAATGTTACAGAAATAAGCTCAGTTAAAACAAACTATTACAGTGGTGTAAAGTAACTAAGTACATTTACTCAACTACTTAAGAACATATTTGAGGTACTTGTATTTTCATTTTTTACTACTTTATTTTGGAAGACAATTTTGTACCTTTTACTCAACTTTTACTTTACTAACACCCAATACTTAGGAATGGGTTTTAAAATATGATTATTTGTTATCGATTAAACAATCCAACATTATATGTAAGAAACTAAACCCATGAGTGGGTTAACAGAATTAAGAAACAAAAATATATTTTACAGTTCCCGCTTCTTAAATGTGAAGATTTGCTGCTTTTGTTTTAAAACATTTTGGATTACTTTTACTCCGAATACTTGAAGTATATTTTCCTAATTATACTTTTACTTTACTAGTACCATTCTCAATGCAGTACTTTAACTTGAAATTAAGTATTTCCACACTATGGTATTAGTACTTTTACTCAATTAAAGAATCTGAATACTAGCTTCCACCATTGCAATAATTCGTACACGTTTTGTTTTGCAGGATAATCTCCACATACTACACAACTGACAAAAGCAAACGCATACGTTAGGCTGTAGAGGACAGGTCATAGTGGCATGACTTCATGTCACCACTGCTAAGATAAAGGCAGCTAATATTCGCCATGATCATGCTCAATAGTCTTATTGACTCACTTGCTAGCAACTGCTGTTTTTATGACTCATTGAAGCTACAGACATTCACCAGTGTGGTTATCACTGATCTATTTGATCTTGTAGAACTAAATGTGAAAATCTTCTCATCTAGTTTCAACTACAGATATCAGGCTTCCAACTCAAAAAGTATTTAAGACAAGCAAACGGAACGTGCTAAAATGCTAACTCATCCCTGGGTTTTACGACTCATTCCTGCACCACTCTAATTATGCGAGGGAATAAGATGCCTCTGTAACGGTCTGCTCCTAAAGAGACACTGAGTAGAACTGTTGACTCAGTGCAGTTCAGTCATTGTTTATGTCTGTCTGCTTACAGGCCGCGGTGGTCTGCGAGGGCGCGGTGGCTTTGCCGGTCGAGGTGGTCGCGGGCGGGGTCGAGGAGTAGACCGGCAGTCTGTGACCCGGGAACAACTGGACAACCAGCTGGACGCCTACATGTCAAAAACCAAAGGTCACCTGGACGCTGAGCTGGACGCCTACATGGCGCAGGCAGACCCCGACAGCATGGAGTAACGGCGCAGACACATGGAGAGCCACTGCACAACAGCTGAACTCACACGAGTGTAGGCCGGGCTGAGAAATGATTGTGTTTGTAATTTAGAGGAGAGTGGTGACTTTGGAACAGCAAGAGATCAAGGTTTCACTTGAATGTGCTTCGACCACTGCTCAATTCTGCATCAACCTGCTCCTGCAAGCCCCCTGTAAATCTGGAATAACTTTGTGAAGGGACCTTTCTAAACATTAACAAAACCCTGCTGTCAATAGAAGTGTTTTTTTATTCTTTTTTCTTTTTTTAAATATGACCTGAAAAACACTTAAGACATTTGGGACAGATCTCTGTAACGCTCAGTTCTCCAGGCGATGTGTTTAACCTTCGTTGGAAATCTATTTTGAATGACGCCTGTTTATTTTGTACTCTTCTTTTAAATGTGATTTTAGCGTTAGTGTGCTCAGACCTTTGGGGATTGATTCATTCGCTTATCTTGGAAATGTTTGCAATGCAACACTTTTCTAAATTATTTGTTAAAAGAATGTAAACAAAGAGTTCAAAGCCAAGTATCCATTTGTTATTGTTTTGTATTTAAAAGATGTACACTGTTTTTGTTCCTCTGTATCTTCCAGCTGTCGGCATTCTTCAGTACACCGCTGACATCCTTAACCTGTACTTGAGAGCATTTGTATGACATTATCCAAAGCAAGTAAAATAGGTTTTAATTCAAATGGAATTGGTTTCCCTAATTGTGTCCATCGTATACATTTTAATGGGGTGTAATTGTTGCCAGCAGAATAAAAAAAAAGTACGAAGGGATAAGGCAACCTGTTGCTGCAAATAGAGAAATGCTTGTAGTTCTATATTTATTATTCCAATGTATGGATTTAGATTTTGGTTATATCAAAGTGAAATATAATTGATTGGTCATCTGTTAAATACCAATAGACATGCATTACTTTTTCTAGTTGGTGTTCTACTAGCACTAAGTACCAGCATTGTTTAATGACTTCAACTAATCATAAATACATATTTCAAAGTGGAATTATACCACATTTGATAAGCAAGTAAATGTTACACTGATAAATAGACTAATATAGTGTTCTGTGCCACCTGCAAATGTATAGATGCTTTATTTTAAAGCCAGTGTGTGGAGGACATGATTGTCAATATATTATGCTATAAATTAAATCAATCAATGTTTATTTATATAGCCCAATATCACAAATGTTACATTTGTCTCAGTGGACTTCACAGTTTGTACAGAATATCAGTATGACAATACGACACCCTCTGTCCTTAGACCCTCACATCGTACAAAGAAACACTTCCAGAGAAAAACCCCACAGTTTAAAGGGAAACATGGGAGAAACCTCAGGGAGAGCAACAGAGGAGGGATCCCTCTCCCAGGACGGACAGACGTGCAATAGATGCCGTGTGTAAATCAGATAATACATTGACAGCATAGGTAGACCAAATGTTTGGAGATGCATGTGTCTATAATAAGAAGATGAATCCATGAGGATGTCAATCCTGTGGGAGCCATCAGGGAAGTAGTATGATGAGTCAGGCAGGACCACAGTGACAGGTTCAGCCACGACTCGAAGTCCAGGATAGAGGATCCAGGACACATGACCGCAGCAACAGGATCAGCCACGACTCAGGATCCCGGCGTAGATAGACACCATAAAGAAATTTGGGGAAGCTGGGTTATTCGGAACATGAGTACACAGGTACAGACAGAGAGAAGGAAGAAGCAAGGTGTCCCCCGACAGTCTAAGCCTATAGCAGCTAAACTAACGTGTCTACGTACATGCACTCCCTTAGGATAGGTTGAGGGAAAGGGGTAGCAAGTAAGAAGTAAGGAACAGAGGTGGAGAGGCACAACGTGTCTACGTACATGCACTCCCTTAGGATAGGGTGAGGGAGAAGAGTAGGAACTAAGATGTATGCGCCACATCTATACCTTGAGCGCATTGCTCCTAAAAAGTGTTTCTGACACCAATCAACAGTTGTGCGTCGACTCGGCAGGGATCAAGGCACGTATATGCCTCTCCCTGCTTCCACCGTCTACACACAACCAAATGACATACCATCAGTAAGGAAAAAGAGTAAGAACTAAAATGTATAGGTGAAGAGGCACAACGTGTCTACGTCAATGCACTCTTATTCGATTATTTTATCAAATATAAGCTTTATCAAAAAGGAAGGTCTTAAGCGCACTCTTAAAAACAGATAGGGTGTCTGCCGCCCGAACACAAACTGGAAGCTGATTCCACAAAAGTGGAGCTTGATAAGAAAAGGCTCTGGCTCCCATTGTACTTTTAGAGACTCTAGGAACAACCAAAACCCTGCATTCTTGGAACGCAATGCCCTAGTAGGACAGTAGGGTATAATGAGTTCTTTAAGGTAAGATGGCGCCTGCCCATTAAGGGCTTTGTAGGCGAGAAGAAGAATTTTTAATTCTATCCTGTGTTCTTTAGGGAGCCAGTGTAAGGCAGCCAGAACAGGAGTAATGTGGTCCCTTTTCCGAACTCTAGTTAGTACACGTGCTGCAGCATTTTGAATCAGCTGAAGCGACTTAACTGACTTCTTGGTACACCCTGATAATAAAGAGTTACAATAATCCAGCCTTGAAGTAACAATTGCATGGACTAGTTTCTCTGCATCGTTTTGAGGCAAGATATGCCTGATTTTTGCAATGTTACGTAAATGGAAGTAGGCGGTCCTTGAGATTAATTTTATGTGGGCGTTAAAGGATAAATCCTGATCAAATATAACACCAAGATTCCTTACAGTCTCACTGGAGGCCAAATTAATGCCATCCATAGTTAGTATATCTTTAGATAATTTGTTTCGTAGAGTCTTTGGGCCGAGTACAATAAATTCAGTTTTGGCCGTGTTTAACATAAAAAAATATAAGGTCATCCACATTTTTAAGTCCTTGAGGCAATCTTGAATTTTATTTAGATGATTCATTTCATCAGGCTTGATTGATAAATATAGTTGAGTATCATCCGCATAACAATGAAAATGTACAGAATGATTCCTTATAATCAGTACTCAAGTTGTAAAAAGAAATCAGGGGGGGATGGTGGATTTGATTATATGGGGACATCATTTTAGCTGATAACCCGCAGAGGGTGGGAGACCAACCAGCATAAAGATAATTATTATACTCCTAAAACAACATGCATGTTATGGATGTTCAGATACTCCTGTCATTGCTCTTGACAAAGGCACCTCAGAATTAGAGTCGGTCCCCGGGCTGCCATGGCACCACTTACATTTAGGGTCAAATGCAGAGGACAATTAGTGCAAAATCTTTTTTTCACTTTAATTTAAAGGGGGGGAGGGGATAAAAAAAATGTGGTTATAATGGAAGTCTATGGTACAAATCTTGTAGGTTAACAGTCCCTCATTTATTATTCAGATGGATCAGCTGATGATACTAATAATAAAGTCAAATTTGTTTTTAGAATATTGAATTATAGTGTATTTTTTCAAAAAAGCAGATACTGGTATACGATCAAAACTGGTATCTAAAGGGTTAATTTTGTATCGTGATTAATTAAATCATTATGTAAATGTAACACTTCATGAAAAAATGGAGGAAAAAAATTAGAACAAAATTGATCCGTCATAATTTTATTGCAGTTCAAATACAAATCTTTTATGTTAAAGCTCCCATGTCATGCTTTTCCGGTTATTACCCGTCCCCTTGTGTGTTATGAAGGTTTTTATGCATGTAAACGGTGTGCAGAGTCAAAACCCTCAAAGTACACCCTGTAGCGAGTAAACCTCTAACACAGAAAATACCTCCCCAAAACGCCTCGTTGGAGATACGTCACTGCCCATTTGAGTCTTCCGGGTACGGCCTGATGTCATGCGGTCAGTGGCGTTTTTATATGTACAAAAGTGGTGGGGCACAAAAAACGTAGATGTCTATATATAAGCTTCTGCAGTGACGTGCAGTGAGGTTCATGGCTGGTGAGGCACTGGCACTGACTCTTCAGGTTTACAAATATTATATTTTGACCTAAACCAAAATATAATATTATTTTCAAAAGCTTTTTTTGTCTGATGCTTCGATTAATTTTAAACAGACAGTTCAACAAAAGGATACCCAAAAAATGTCATTTTATCATTTAAATATTGAATTGTTCTCTCTTAGTAAGATCCCATTTTCAATAAAATGGCGGTCTTACCTTGACTTGAAGATGAAGTCCATTTGCCTATCCTTCTGGACAAACATTTCTATTACTTTTTTGTAAAAGTCCTCCTTATGTTCTTGTAGTTTCAAAAGTCTATCATAAATCTAATCCATAGATTTATGATAAAAAAATTATATAAGTAGGGTAGACATGTGGATGTTATCCGGCTAATCAAAACGTGCATTTATCTAACAGGTACGTTTCCCACAGATCTTATTTCGAGCTATTTTCTAAAATCCTCTGGAGAAATCTCATTGCTTTTTTGTGCTTACTTCCTGGTTTTAGGACGCGTTACTGCAGCTCTCTCGTCTCCTCTTCACACAGCACACTTTTCGCGGCACACGTACTTACAGCCAATCAGCTCTGAATGATTTGAGATGACGTATGGTGGGGATGGTAGCTCCATGCCCCTCTGGTCATTATTTTTTTGCCACACACATTTCATTACAAAATACTCTGAGCATGCGCAGTGTAGTTTTTACAGTCACCGTTCACTTCACAGCGAGAGGAAGGGGCATAATCAGGTTTTGTCCCACATGGCTCTAAACAGCTCAATAGGCACACACTGTGACTGTAGACACACTAATTAGAAGAACACAGACTAAAACAGCAATGTACAGACGAATCAGATGATTAAACATGATCTTAAAATATATTTTATATATTTTTTTATTTATTTTTTTGCATTTTTGTAATCATTATTTGTAATACTTTCTGCTGACACTAGGTGGGGCTGTGCCCCACCTGCCCCTAATGACCAGTCGCCACTGCATGCGGTACCCGGAACGAAGAGCTATGGCCACACCCAGCGGTGCTGGCCGCACCCTCTGCCAGCCTAACATTTAAGCATGCTAAGCCAGTGCTAACTGTGCTAACTAAGTTGCTAGCGTTTCCATATATCAACTCCAATATTAGCAGATCGCCTTACATACATGTTCCTCATAGCTGGATAATGTCTGCATTCACACACGAAATAGTCATAGACCGTATACTCCTGGTGATTTACCGTTCGGTCAGTCGCGAAACGTAATTACATTATAGCTGGCGTAGCGTGTATGCTACCGATCTACCGACGGAGCTAGACCTTAGTTTGGTCGGAAAAACATTTTTGTTATGCTACGTTGCTAGCGTTTAAATATATCAACTACAATGTCAGCAGATGGCCTTACATGTTTGTCATGGCAGGAGAATGTCTGCAGTCACACACACGGAATACTCATACAGTATACTCCGGGTGATTTACCGTACATTGTGACAGTACATGTATAGCTAACGAGGCTAGCTATGCATGTATAGCTAACGAGGCTAGCTATACATGCTAGCGGGAAACATTGTATGACCGAACGTAGCAGACTACCCGTAGAATAATGCAATTATAAACACGTTATTGCTAGCCTAATATGAACCACTAACTTTTGTTCATAGTAGTTTTATTACACTCCGTTACTCCAAGCTAACGTTCATATCGTGTTAGCTACCAAGGTAAACAAAGCTAGGTTAGCATATTAGCAGGCAAGCTGTTCATTAGATATATCCACACTCCTACCACAACTACTACTAACGAATCTAAAACAACTAAGTTTCTCTAATATTTTGTGATTTGCATTTTATTTCGTCCAGCCAGATCCTGCCGGAAAATACATGACTGGACGACCACACTGAGGCATCGTCTCAAAAAGCCCCGGCTGCTATAAGCAAGATGCCGACAACGAGGAGTAATTGACGATATACCGTGTATATATGTATATTTACGTTCATTTTGTACATTTCTAAAAATAAAGTTTAATGGAAATACTTAGTAGGCCTATCCTTTCTTCCCTGAATTATTTGCTCCTATAACATATCATTCATATAGCAAACCATGATTTGATTTCTCATCAAACAGTAGTAGTTTATAACGGGTAAAAATAACTTACTCTTTGTTATGACCGGCTCGTAGGCCACAACGGAAAGACAAGGAGACATACATGAGTTTACAAAACCACGGCACATTTATTGTGGTAAATGCAGAGAGAGGGGGAGAGGATTGCTGAGCTGCTTGGAGGGAGAGGGGGGCTGCTGTTTGACTCCGGGCAGCTGGCTAGCACCTCGGCTCCGGCCAGGTGTTGTTGGAGCAGAACACTTCTGCTACGCGCCGTTCGTTGGATGAGGCTGGATCTCTATTAAATTAAGAAAGGAATTGAAAACACCGGAATCAAAGTTATAACAAATTATCTGAGTTTACTTCTAGTAAGAAACCAAACACATATACAAGTTATACAGAGTACTCGAGTACTCCGGACTTTTAGATTTGTGATGCGATGCGGATAAATGCGTCAGGACCCGCCAACTCATCAAACCAAAAAGAAATTGGACTTCAGGTTTGTGATGCGATACGGACACAGTTCTCAGGACCTGCCACTCACCAAACCCAAAAGCATTTTTACACACACAAACATCAGTATTTCTATCTGTCTTTGGGGCGGAGATGGGTCATCTCTTCCTTCCCACTTTACTCCCAAGCGAATTAGAGAGCCCCTGGGGAGGAGCTGTTTAAACTGACCACCTCCCCCAAGTGCCCTGACTGGCTGGATTCGCTTCTGGCCGGGTTCAATAGTTCTCACCAGGACTTGAAATTCCAAAGTCCCCTAAGGTCAAAAGTCAATTCTTATCTCCGTCCCGATCTCCCCTCCCTACCTTTTCCAGGGGAGTTATCTCATAAACTTTTCTTTTTCAAACAATTAAACCTTTAGTGCCCCCATAAAAAGAGACCCAAATCTACCTTAAAAAACAACATCTGGTGTGTTGAGGTGAAAGGGACAGGGTGTGTATATGACCCAGGAGTGTGATTACTTAAGACAGTTCAAACATGTTCACTAAAATACAATTCAAAATAATACATCTTTACTTCAATACAGTTTAGAATCATATCTTCTTACTTCAATCCCTCTTTTGATCTCACCTCACGAGATCAACATATAGCATTAGAAACATTACCACTGTCATTCTTTTTTCCTACTGTGTCTGTCCCAACATTTATATAAACCCATCAGAAGCTGGGATATAGAGCACTTTAAACCTTCAGGAACAGTCCACAACAAGAACTTCTCATGACAGTGGAGGGAGAATAAAATATGTCTAAAAAAGTTCGTCCTTGTCGGCTGAGTCATCATATTCTTCCCCCTCCGACGCATACGCCAACAAGGGCATTTGGTACGGAGGGGAAGGGGCAGCTTTTCCCTCAATTGTGGAACTGATGAGTCTAACACACAATGAGCGGATACAAGGCACACAACAACAACCACATGTCACCAAAATGGCAATAAAAGTAGCCACAGAAATCAGAAAAGACATTATCATACTTTTCCCTCTTTTGGTAACACATAGTTCTGTAGAATAAAAAATACAAATCCCTTTTTATGGGATATAAAAATAAAGTTGAAAGTTCCTCAAAAAAAAAATGGATTGTTCAGACAAAGTTCCACACCGGCTATATCAACCTGTTTCAGCGGGAAATGGAGTTCCCTGTGCCGTCTTGGTTTGCCATATCTTCGTCCCCCCAGCCCGCTGACGGCGGCTTCTGGGGTGCTTACTAGAGAGATGTGGCCTGATTGTCTTCCGCCCGCCCGCTGATGGCGGCCTCCGGGTCGATGCTGGAGAGATGTCCCGATCCTCCTCCTCCGGCCCGCTGATGGCGGCTTCCGGGTCGACTGTTGGAGAGATGTCCTGATCCTCCTCCTCCGGTCTGCTGATGGCGCCTCCTGGGTCGACTGCCTTGACGAGAGCCAGATCTGTTCTGATGTCGTCTAGGGTCCTCGCGACGAGGGCCAACTTTGTCCTGATGTCGTCCAGGGTCCTCGCAGGTGTTTTTCCCGACCGCACACTGGCTCCAGTGGTACCAGTTGTCTCCCTTTCCATCTAGGCAAACGGCATGGGAGGTCCCCTCCAACCAGACGTAATCTGCTGTGTTGGCCTTGTGTTTCTCGGGTCCCCCTTTTGACGTCAGCAGCCTGTGTGGAGAAGTCTCATACCAAGCCCTTAAGTTGCTGGAAATATGGTTTTGAAATCATCTTTTCTACTTCTTTAGTGTTTATTGGCGGCACCAACTAGACTGGAGTGTGGACAAGAGACTATGCAGAAAATAATAAACAAAAATTAAAAATTAAAATAAAAAATAAAAAATTAAAATAAAAAATAAAAAATAAAAAATAAAAAATAAAAAATTAAAAAATAGAACAAAAATAAAAATAAAACAAAAAAGGAACAAACTAACAAAACAAAAAATAACCAAAGCTAGATTATTTTAACTGTATCAATTTCTCTTAAAAGCAACAAATAAAACAAAACAAAAAATACCATAACTAGTATTTTTAAATTGATAAATTTCTCCTAAAAACGTAATAATCTCACATACATATTGTCTGATGTATATCCTATCCTTTTCCCCCTTTTACTGAAATAGAACGCCGTTAACGGTGTTCCTATTTTCAGAAATATCGAGCCTTATACATCAGTTATTTAATATCAGCTATATATTTATTATTACTATTACTTATATATCAGGCATTAAATGTCAGCCTTCTTCCACGATTGACCTCGTCTACATTATCTGACTTATATTGATACGTGTCTGTTTGTATTTATTTAATATACTGGGCAATTTATTGATAACTTTTTGAATCTCCCTCTTTTCTTAACAACTTGAGGTATGGCTACTTTGAAATCTGACTTGGTTAAGAGATGATTTGTTTATTGGTGAGAGGCACACTCTTGCCCTCGTGATTGGGTGGGGGTGGATAGTTAGGGAGAGTTCCTTACAATCTCCAGATCTTCCTCTCTGTGTTTAGGCCATAAAACCTTTTAATGGGCTCTGTGGTCTGTTCAGATTTAGATTTTCTTCCTCTCCAGAGGTCACGCCTGTCTTTGACCCTGTATGCTGCTTTGAGTCTGCAGCACCTCAGGAGCAGAGAAAGTGGGAGATCTCTTCCCAAAAGTGTAAGCTCCCACATGAGCAACATAGCAACACATTAAACTCTCCCTGACTAGTTTGTAAAGTGTTCTTTAAGGCCTGAATTGAGTCTTCCGTTATGTAACGGAAAATCCCATTTCCAAAAAGGGTCAGTTTAATAGTCCTTATCATATTATCGCTCTGTGCTTGCATGCTAGGACCTATTGTCTTTGCCAGAGCTGCTGCTATTCTTTCTACATGTATTAGCTCCATATTAGCAGGGTTCACTAACATGGTTGGTTGATCCAGTTTAAGATTTTCAATATCTTCCATTACTATTTCCAACATTCCTTTTCCCTGAATATCAGGTCTAACAATGTGTTTTCTTTTAGGAGTATTAGATGGGACACTCATAAGTGGCATTTGTGAGCTATTATCTCCGTAGGGTGGAGGTAGGGTCTCAGACATTATACCACCTTCTTGTTGCTCTCTGTCCCTTTGTCTTCTGCAATTTTTTACCCACAGTTCTTTTTACTGGATTTGTCTCTCAAGTATTACACAGATTTGACTTAAAAAAAATCACACAGAGCTTTTCATACCTTATCATATTACAGTCAGGCAAATTTTTATTGTGCGATGTTTATTTCAACAGATAGCGTGACTTCCAGAAGTAGGCTTCTACAATCTCCTCACGGTGATTGCGACTTCAGGTCAAGAGTTAAAAACTCAGTCAACAAAATCTCTTTATCGTCACGTTTAATGAGCCTGATTATCCCCACAACAGTTTTGTGATGAGATTCGGTCGATCCAAATAATTAGTTGGAGGTCGCGTCTCTCTCCTCCTCTATCACCCACCATATTACAATTACAGACATTTTTATACATTTAAAGCACCACGAAAGGTAACCGCATTAATCAATCTTATCATGATCTGCGGGGAATGCAACCCTTTTTTACACCTTTTGCAGCCTTTAATTAAAGCACTGTAAAGCAACCGTATTAATCAATGTTATTTTGACTTACGGGGAATTTAACCTATACTTCTTTTACAGCCTTACAGTCTTCGTATTTAGTGAGTGAAGGGCTGGGACTTTATCTACCCGCCACACTCAAACACTATTTTTGCTCTAGGTCCAGGACTGAATACCCTTCTCTAAGCACTTCCCCAATATCCCCAACTTGTAATATGTATTGTATTTCCCACCGTGACTAAGAACACTGAGAACGCTGCTGACAACTCTAAATTTTTAGTATAATCAATCACAGATTTTCGATAGTCAAAACAGGCGTCTGCTCACCTTTTGTATATGGCCATTGGTTTAGTTGTCACCAGTATCTCTGTGTCCTCCCCCTGGACTGGATTCTGTCCCCTGGCTATCGGTGTTCCTTTCTAGAGATAAGCACTCATCACGTCGGGGTCACCACTTGTTGGAGCAGAACACTTCTGCTACGTGCCGTTCGTTGGATGAGGCTGGATCTCTATTAAATTAAGAAAGGAATTGAAAACACCGGAATCAAAGTTATAACAAATTATCTGAGTTTACTTCTAGTAGGAAACCAAACACATATACAAGTTATACAGAGTACTCGAGTACTCCGGACTTTTAGATTTGTGATGCGATGCGGATAAATGCGTCAGGACCCGCCAACTCATCAAACCAAAAAGAAATTGGACTTCAGGTTTGTGATGCGATACGGACACAGTTCTCAGGACCTGCCACTCACCAAACCCAAAAGCATTTTTACACACACAAACATCAGTATTTCTATCTGTCTTTGGGGCGGAGATGGGTCATCTCTTCCTTCCCACTTTACTCCCAAGCGAATTAGAGAGCCCCTGGGGAGGAGCTGTTTAAACTGACCACCTCCCCCAAGTGCCCTGACTGGCTGGATTCGCTTCTGGCCGGGTTCAATAGTTCTCACCAGGACTTGAAATTCCAAAGTCCCCTAAGGTCAAAAGTCAATTCTTATCTCCGTCCCGATCTCCCCTCCCTACCTTTTCCAGGGGAGTTATCTCATAAACTTTTCTTTTTCAAACAATTAAACCTTTAGTGCCCCCATAAAAAGAGACCCAAATCTACCTTAAAAAACAACATCTGGTGTGTTGAGGTGAAAGGGACAGGGTGTGTATATGACCCAGGAGTGTGATTACTTAAGACAGTTCAAACATGTTCACTAAAATACAATTCAAAATAATACATCTTTACTTCAATACAGTTTAGAATCATATCTTCTTACTTCAGTGTCCGTGATCGCGCTGATTAGCCTCTTCAGCTCCACCCCATCGTAAGACAAAGGCCCTGGGGCCGTCACACTCTTCTATAACAACAGTTGTAGCTACAGTTTGGTTAGTTTGCGTATAAAATATACGGCTGTACCGACGCCATGATAAGACTGATGTTCGGCTGAGAGCAGCCGTTTAGACATGGGCGCAGCCTCTCTGGTGGTTGACTAATCAGAACAGAGTGGCCGAGCTGACCAATCGGAGCACACTAGGCTCACAGGGAGGGGGGGGCAAGAGCTCCAACGAGTCGTTTAGTGGAGAGAGTGAATACTGCTGAATACACATGCTTGACAGAGATGCTGTATGCGAAACCAATGTGAGTTTGGAAAATTGCACAGTATAAATCTATTTTAGTATACCTCAACAATGTAATTATGATCAGTGGAAATGGCCATGACATGGGCCCTTTAACATTCCCAATGTTACTTTTTTTAACAGGGCATTAAGTGCAAATTGAAATTGTTTACAAAATATGAAAATATATTAAAAGATTATACAGATAATACAAAATAGGACCAATGTTGTCAATGGCTGCCTACTCCACTCTCCCCCATCTCATAGAAGTTTCCAAAGATTTTCATAATCATGCTTTTTGGTCTCAATTTTTCTGGCTCTTGCTTTCGGATTGTTAGCTAAGCAATGGCTTTGAAGCCAAGTCTTGACATATACATCTGGTCTGAACTTGTTCAGTGGAGGGCCAACACACTTGATGAAAAGCAAGGCTGACATGCTTTTTATCTCTAGGGAGCTTCTAGTTGTGGTTAACATGTTCATCTGACTAAACCCACGTTCACACTCAGCTGTGGAGATGACCAGAGTGTTCACTGCTTGAAGGAGGGGTTTCAGCTCTTCTGGTGCTGGTGGTATCATTTCATCAACAGTTTTGAGTCTTACCAGCTAGCTAACACGAGAGAAAAACGTAGCTAAACTCCAAACTAAGTTGTTATTGCTGCTTATGTCCATAGATTCCACCTTTGGTGACTAAAGTAATGAGTAATGACTAAGATTACTGACTCTTGACTTACCTGAAATGTTATTTTTAGTCTTTTTAAATATGAAGTCCCTCAGATTGCGTTGTCCTCCTGGTCGCTTGGCCATTGTGATAACCGTTACCTGCGCTAGTGCTGCTATGCAGCTTCTGGCATCAATCAAACGGGCACATCACGGCACTCGCATAGCATAGCGTCAGTGACTTGGTAAAAATGTCATTGCATGTGTGCGTGCTCCCTCGCACACAGTATTTTACTCAATATGCGCAAAATGAATGTTGAAATAGCAGTAATACCAGTGCCACGTTCATTGATAAAATAACATAAGGGATGGAAAGGGGGGATGGCAGTTTTAGAAGGGGGATGATTTTGACCATTTTTATTTCAGGGGGGATGCCATCCCCCCTCATCCCCCCTCAACTCGAGTACTGCTTATAATATTGCCTAACGGAAGCATATATAATGTGAACAAAATAGGTCCAAGCACTGAGCCCTGTGGCACTCCATGGCTAACTTTGGTTTGCATGGAAGATTCATCGTTGACACATACAAATTGAGAGCGTTCAGATAGATAGGACCTAAACCAGCCTAAAGCAGTTCCCTTCATGCCAACTAAGTGCTCTAGTCTTTGCAATAGGATGTCATGGTCGATAGTATCAAATGCAGCACTGAGATCGAGCAAGACAAGAATAGATACAAGTCCTTTGTCTGAGGCTATTAGATGGTCATTTGTGACTTTAACCAGAGCTGTCTCTGTGCTATGATGTGTTCTAAAGCCAGACTGAAAAACTTCAAATAAATCATTGTTTTTTAAGTAATCACATAACTGTTTTGCGACTGCTTTCTCAAGGATTTTTGAGAAGAACGGAAGATTAGAAATAGGTCTATAGTTGGCTGAAACCTCTGGATCGAGGTTGTGCTTTTTAAGAAGAGGTTTTATCACTGCTACTTTGAATGATTGTGGAACATAGCCTGATAATAAGGACATATTCATAATATTTAATAAAGAAGTGTTAATTAATGGAAAAACTTCCTTTAACAGCTTAGTTGGAATTGGGTCTAAGATAAACGTTGATGGTTTAGAAGAAAGAATCATTGAATTCAATTGTTCAAGGTTTATGGCTGAAAAGCATTCTAATTTCCTATCTAGTGTAATATTAGAACTTACGTTTCCGGGAGCTGTTGATAACACTACTGGTCAAAGGCAAGAGGTCATTAATTTTGTTTCTAAGAGTAACAATTTTATCATTAAAAAAGCACATAAAATCATTACTACTGAGTGCTATGGGAATAGAAGGCTCAATTGTATGGCGTTATATTTGTGCCTCTATCCTGAGCATGCAATGAAACATGTTGAGCATAGAAAATGCTATTGGGCGCGCACTTGAACATTTTTGAGCACAGAGAAATATATTTTCTCTCATAAAACTCCTGCTCCGTGCGCAAGCAGACCGCTGCACGCGCTCTCTCTCCCTCGCTCGACCTCTCCACCCCAGTGTTAATTTTGGCAGCTGTTTTTGATTTAGTCTTTAGACGAAAATGGGTTATTAGTTTTAGTCACATTTTAGTCATTTCTATCCTTCTTCCTTCAGTCGACGAAAACTCAAAACGTTTTAGTCTACTTTTAGTCGATGAAAAATTACATTTTAGTCAACTTTTTGTCAAAATGTTTTCTCTCTTTAAACCAATTCAGTTTGGATTCAAGGTGACAGCATCAAGTGTTGAAATTCGTAAAGCAACATTTCACTCGCTTAACACTTTACTAATATCTAGAGATGGGTATCGTTAAGGTTTTCTACGGTACTACTAGTCTTATCGATACTGCTTATCGATCCGGTACTTTAACGGTATTCTTGTATTTACTTTTTGTTATTTTTTAAAGGGAAAAACTAACAAATTGTGAACCGAATTAATTGCTTTATTTAAATGTGAAATAAATGAAATATATATAATTATGTTAAAATATTGTACTGTACTTGAGTAAAATGTTAAGGTACTTGTACTTTACTGGAGTATTTAAATGTTTTGCTACTTTGTACTTCTACTTCACTACAGTTCAGAGGTAAATGGTGTACTTCTACTCCACTACATGTATTTAATACCTTTAGTTACTTTACAGATGTGGATGAATGATGTGAAATATAATCAAGTGTTAAATCAGACTTTAGTTCCACCTGGAGTAAATTCACAAATTCACTTTCATGATCAATCATTATAAAACATATCATATATATTATTCTGAAATGGACCAATCTGCACAATCACTACTTTTACTGTCGCTACTTTAACTATATTTTGATGAGAATACTTTTCTACTTTTACTTGAGGAACATTTTGAATGCAGAACTTTTACTGTAACAGAGTATTCCTACACTCTGGTACTTCTACTTTTACTCAAGTACAAGACCTGAGTACTTCTACTTTTACTCAAGTACAAGATCTGAGTACTTCTACTTTTACTCTGGTACAAGATCTGAGTGCTTCTACTTTTACTCAAGTACAAGACCCGAGTACTTCTACTTTTACTCAAGTACAAGACCTGAGTACTTCTACTTTTACTCAAGTACAAGATATATACTTATACCACCTTTTGAAAATTAAGGCTAAAGCTAACGTTAGCAGATAGTGACAATGTATGCTAGTTAGCTAGCTCAACGATTAATTAAATAATATTGCGACAGAAAAACTTTTCAGTGCACATCACGCTCTGCCGCTCCGACAGGGAGCTCTGCTCTGAACACCTGAACGGCCCGTTCTAACAGCTGTTCACCAGCGGTCCAGTCTGTGCCACAGTGACTCCGGACCGCACAGTTAATATTAACGAACGCACCGTAGATAATGTAGCTGCTGAAGCTAGACCCTCATCCCGGAGCAGCAGAGCCTTATTATACATCCATGAGCAGAGCCGACAGGCAGGAAGACTCGAGCACACAGCTCGCGCTTCATTATAATATATAAAAAAAGAACACCATGCGTGTCATGATGGCACATAACAGCTCGCGGCCGCAGATTACTCCGGGTCCCAGACCCCCCCCCATACCCCAAAAATATTTTTATTGCAGATCTACATGAATCACACAAACGACCTATTTTGGATTCAAAACGGCGAATTTCGCCGAAAGGTGACAAGTTTGCATCCCTGACTTTTACTGTCGCTACTTTAACTATATTTTGATGATCATACTTTTACTTGAGGAACTCTTCCTACACTATGGTATTTTTTTTTTACTTAACTACAAGATCTGAGTACTTCTCCCACCTCTGCACACCTGATGTGATAACGTTACTCGTAATTGGGGCAACAGAGCTACGAGTTAAGGAAGTCGAAAATTGTGCATTTCTCCGACTGAATATGACGCCTTTTGGCCGGCTGTTTGGACAGACTACTCTACTCGTGTCAACGCGCTAACGCGAAAACACTAATGGCAAACAAGCTTTGTCCACATCGAGCATTGTAGAGTGTCTCTATACTTTTGAATGCTCCGTCCCCGGCAGATCTCTGTGTGCCGCTGCAGTGTGTCTGTTAGGCCCCGCCCCCCGCACACTTAGAGAGACTTAGGGGGTGTTTCTCAGGGTGTTTCTCAATCGCGAGTAAAGCTGCTTCAGAGCCACTATTTCAAGCATACTACGTCATCGAGTGCCGCCGAAGTACTGTTCCAATCTCCAGCCTACTTGGAAATCTACCGAGCCCGGCGTACTTCGTAGCGAGAAATTTCGAGGCTGCACATGTGTAGACTCCGCGGTCTTAAAATCCCCACAATGCTTTGCGCACGGACCAATTTCCCCAAATCTGTGGCGGAAAATGTAAGGCGGGGCCTCTCATATGACGCACACCTGCACACATGCTAGCGTGTTCCACTCTTCGTTTTCGGAAAGCCAGGAAGTGTTCTTGTCTCGCTTCTGAAGCAAGACGCTCGGCAGACATGTGCTACCAAGCAAGCGTACTCGCGATTGAGAAACACCCTCAATCGCGAGTAAAGCTGCTCCAGAGCCACTATTTCAAGCATACTACGTCATCGAGTGCCGCCGAAGTACTGTTCCAATCTCCAGCATACTTGGAAATCTACCGAGCCCGGCGTACTTCGTAGCGAGAAATTTCGAGGCTGCACATGTGTAGACTCCGCGGTCTTAAAATCCCCACAATGCTTTGGGCACGGACCAATTTCCCCAAATCTGTGGCGGAAAATGTAAGACGGGGCCTGTCACTACCCGATCTGCCGCCCTGCCCTATCTGCAGTGCGCATGTGCGAGATGGTCCGCCATATTGGACAACTCCGTACGGCAACCCAAGTAGGACACTTGACACAGTGGCTTTTGGCAAAGCACAAAAAGAAAACTCGAGAGAGATGAGTTATTGTTATTACAACGTGACTTCACTATTATTTAACAACTCTTTTTATTGGGTTCTTTTATTTGGGGTTAAGTACATTGTCAGAATAAGTGAGACATGGATTTAACTTCTGTTAGACAGCTATATGCCATACATTTTTGCATACATTCACAGTAAATATTTATTCAGTATGATAGCTGTCTAACAGAAGTTAAATCCATTTCTCACTTATTCTCACAATGTACATAACCCCAAATAAAAGAACCCAATAAAAAGAGTTGTTATATAATAGTGAAGTCACGTTGTAATAACAATAACTCATCTCTCTCGTCCGTGCAGAGACAATTAATATTGTCGGGTTTTTTGAGTGTTCTTTTTCTGCTTTGCCAAACGCCACTGTGTCAAGTGTCCTATTAGAGTTGCCGTATGTAGTTGTCAAATATGGCGGACCATCTTGCACATGCGCACTGCAGATAGGGCAGATTGGGTAGTGACAGGGGCTGCGTTTCACTTCGGTTAAATGGATTCCTTGCGTCCCTCACTTGCGTCGTTTCCCTTCGACTAGTCCCTCCCACCAGGGAAGCATGGAGAGACACAAGGAAACCACGAGAAGCAGGGAAATGAGTTTTAAGAGCAATGGGACGTCGTTTCCTTCGGAGCGTCACGTGAAGCGACGTCCGTTTGTGATGACGCTGCACAGCTGATCGTCTGACAGCAGCTCTGTCCCCGTTATTTTCACAAACACCCCCGCCTCTGTTAGTACACATTTACTGACACAAACATTTGTATCATCTGTTGTAGACCCAAATAAATAAAATCAAATAAGAACTCATTCTCAAAAAAGATAAACGCCATTCTTAAAATGTATAAACGAACAATAGTTGGATTAATATTGATTAGAGTGCACAATAGAAATAAAATAATTGAGAGAAGAAAAAGAGATATGTTATCTATCAAAACCCAGTTAGATTAACATTCATTGGATTGCACACTTAGTTTGTTTGTGTGGATATGTAGCAAATTAACATTTTAAATAGCACTTAATGACTGACTGAATGGAAATGACAATAAATGAAAATGTAAAACGAAAAAAGCGATCATGAAAATGTTTCCAAAAAATGAATAAAATGATTTTTGACCACTTTGTTGTTCAGATATATCACATATTTGTAACTGAATGATGCATTAATTGAAACAAAACACTGTATGAACTGAGGATTGACTCCCGTGAGGTTCATGTGTTTTCTTCACTCCGCTGGGAAACTGCTCTCATGTCAAGAAGCATCAGATCAGTGCATGCGCTGCATCGTCCAATCAGTGAGCGATACACAGTAAGGGGGCGGGGCGAGTGTCTGAGGATTTCATCGAAGGATGGTCTGGTGGTTCCTCGATTATAGCTCCTCCATTATCGCTCCTCGCTCCTCGGTCCTCCGGCGAAAATAAGGCCATTAGGCGCGTTCACACCAAGTACTTTGCAGTACTTAGTTCCGGCACTCAGTGCCCCGGCGCTTTTTACCCCAGGGCACTTAGTACAGATCGCGTTCACACCGGAGTACTTTTCCCTGAGGGAAGATTACGCAAATGAGCCGCTGACGTCACTTCTTCTTCTGCTTTGGCTTTACTGGCAGGCCACAAACCACTTCACGGCGAGTACAGTAGGTGGCGGTATGCACCTTAAAGTTGTTTGCAATCCGCTACAAAAACAAGAGAAGAAGAAGAAGAAAAACTTCCCGCGTATACTGCGACGCCCACCCACTCGCTGTACATTACTATAGAGTGGCGAAGTCCCTCCCCTTCCGGTGGACCTCCATGGGACCTTATTTCGGAAAAATTATGTATTGAAGTCAATGGAGAGAGAAAGATTATCTTTCGATCCCGTTTGAATTGTGCCACGAATTACACATATGATGTTTGTCAATTTAAAAGATAATTTTGCAAGTCAAAAAAAAAAAAATGTGTCATAAAACTGTGAAGTAACACATTTGTTTGTGTGAAACGCTCAATGAACTACATCTCTGGTCAATAACAGACGTCACCAAAATGGCCGTCACTACTGTCTTGTCAACAAAACGATTGACTATCCTCACTATCACCACAATGAAACACGTCCTGAAGAATGTCATGCAAAGCTGCCTGCCTGCCTTCCTTTGATTCTCTCTGAACTGCCTGGTCTTTTTAATATTTAATGTCAACCATTTGTGCAGATAGCATGAAGTAGAGAAGATCGCCGATGCTAACGTTAGCGTTAGCATTTCTCCCCCGGGCTTAAATGGTGTATTATAGAATGATCACACCGGTGACAGTACTATTCAAAGGGTTCACGAAATATGACTACTACTCTTACTGTTTAACATTTTGGGTTACTTAATGTTACTTCATGTTAAGGCTAATAAAAATGACAAGGCTGTAATGCTAACTAACGTGCTAGCTACTAGCTAGGTAGCTAACTTGATCAAGCCACTCCTGGTCCTTTCATCAGACGGGAAGCAAAAGAACGAGCAAGACCCATTGCTGGTATAATAACAACCTGGTACTAAGCACACAGGCATCTTGTTAAAGTTATCTTATCTTAGCCAGCGCCATATAGATAGATTATATCTATATTGCGCTGATCTTAGGTATCTGAATGGTGGAGGAAAACAATTGTGACATCACTTACGCGACTCTGGGATTTGTAGTCTTTCTAGTTACGTATTTTTCATAGTCTTATATTTCAACAGTTTTACGACAAACTGTGACTTTTTTGACATGGAAATAATTTTTTAAGATTGACAAACATCATATGTGTAATTCATGGCACAATTCAAACGGGATCGAAAGATAAGTTTTCTCTCCCCATTGACTTCAATGCATAATTTTTCCGAAATAAGGTCCCATTACCCGGAAGTAAGTGGGCGTGACTTCGCCACTCTATATCGGCTGCGGCCGCGGCAAGTACACGACACTACACGACACGCCCCCTACACGACACGCCCACCTGACACGACACGACGGTGGCTGAGTCACCAGCTCCAGTGTGCTGTGCAGTGTGGCGGCGGAGGGAGCCGAGGGCACCACCGGAGGAGAGGCGAGCGATGACAGCAGCATCACCGTGGTGCAGCTCCCCGCACAGACTGAGGGGACTTGTTACACGGAGCCCATCACCGGGGAAGCCTGCAGCGGGAGAAGGCGGTCTGCTCGGCCTGCCCTTGGCTCTGGGGTCCCTCCTTAAAAAAAGTCTCATCATACTTAATCCTAGACAGTAGCACATGGTATATATTGTACGACTTTGTAATTTTTTTAATGTTGATATGTATTCGCTCATAGCCTACTGTGCCTTTCACGCAGACAATACAAGTGAATTTTGAAATGACAAATAGGTTTATGTTTCAAGTTTATTTGCATTAAAAACGTGTTTTTAAACCCTTCTGTTCAAATTTGATATTTTGTTTCTTAAAAGATTACATTTTTAAAAACATGCTGTTTGCCATTTTTAAAGTTTGATGGAAGAAATTAAAATATAGGTCACTGACGTGGAGCTTTAGGCCTGCAATGCTTTCAAAAAAAATGTTGGTGTTGTTTCAGTTTTGAGTGAATATGGATGTTAAATTCACAAATGAGTATGAATAATCTTGAACAAGAACAGGATCTTGAGCCATGATGTTTTTAAAGTACAGAAACATTCAGAATGCATGACGATTCCTTCAAAGGTTTTGTAATAGACCCCTAGTACTTTTAATTTATAAAGTAATAATAATACATGTGAATGATTGAGCTCATTAGTGGCCTGACTGGCCCTCCTAATTTGGTCCTTAATGACCCCATGATGTGATTATGTATATTTTAAAACCTTTAACAACTATATTTAGATGTTCACAAATATCTACATTTATGTATAAATACATGTGTAGCAGTTAGACAAACATAATTAATAGATTATCTCATTAATACCTATTTTATATATTAAAAAATAGTTTACTAAACCACCGTTTGTTGACAAAATGATTTGGGTTGATAGTTATACTGTTGTGTCTCAAACGGATAGACTAGGTTATTAATTTATTTGCCTAATAGTTGCTTAAAATGCTACAATAACATTTGCTATTCGTTTTTAATCTGCCATGTACGATCTCTCAGCCATCGTAGTGTCGTGTCAGGTGGGCGTGTCGTGTAGGGGGCGTGTCGTGTAGTGTCGTCAATTCGCTTTTAATCTGCCATGTACGGTAATGTCTCTCAGCCACCGTAGTGTCGTGTCAGGTGGGCGTGTCGTGTAGGGGGCGTGTCGTGTAGTGTCGTGTAGTGTCGTGTACTTGCCGCGGCCGCAGCTGGACCCTTCTCGTACATTAGGCGTCTGTTGTTTACCTTCCGACCTCAGACATGATGGAGATGGAGTCGACTGAAGTTGTGCTGTTTGTGCTCATGTTATACAGCTTTGTAACTGAGTTAATGCAGCCTGAGCAACTTGCGTACAATAACAAAACAAGCCGAGCACGAGTGGTGGTGGAGAACGCTTTTGGCAGACTGAAGGGCAGGAAGAAACGACTGCAAGATGGACAAGATCAAAATCCAGGTGGCAGCATGTTGCATATTACATAACCTTTGTGAAAGTAATGATGAGTACAGGGACGAATGGACTGCCTTACCGGCGACCCAGCTTGATGGGCCAGCCATTGCCGAGGCTGGGGGGCAAGACACGCGCACAGCCCTTATGAGGCATCTGAACAGCGTGTCAATTGTACATTGTAAACATTTTGACAATAAAGCTGATCTTTTGTACAGTGCTTTTGTTTCTCTCTTTTATTTTCCAGTCAAGACAGGACGCTACTCAAGATGGCGCAGACAAATCAACTTCCGGTGAGACAGAGACCGAGGAGCGAGGAAATGAAAAATAAGAGAAGTGAAACGCAGCCAGGGCCTCTCATATGACGCACACCTGCACACTTGCTAGCGTGTTCCACTCTTCGTTTTCCAAATGCCAGGAAGTATTCTTGCCTCGCTTCTGAAGCAAGATGCTCGGCAGACATGTGCTACCAAGCAAGCGTACTCGCGATTGAGAGGGAGATCGCTCTTCTGGAGTGAAGAGAGCGAAAATAATGATATTGCAAGTTAGAAACGTAAGATGCATTTTGACAGACAAGACGGACAATTGGGGGGAAAGACCCTGCATTTTGAATGTCCGATAGTCCACCATTAACACCTTAGTCCTGTCTCGTCTCGTCAACGAAAACTAAATATACATTTCGTCATGGTTTTCGTTATCAAGAATCTATTTTTAGCTCGTCATCGTCTCGTCTTAGTCATGTAAAAAAGGTTGTTGACGAACATTTTTCGTCATAGTTTTCGTTGACGAAATAAACACTGCTTCACCCTGTGCGCGCTCAGCTTTGCCTGCCTGCTCGCTCAAGTTGTCACAGAATTACAAATGTGCCACAAAACCAACCAATCGGAGAACTCGAGAAGGTCAATTCTGATTGGCTGGTCGTCTCCAATCATATCTTCTATCTGAGATACAAGAAGAGAGGGATTTTCGGTTGCCATCTATGGGCTCAGAACAGTCTCATAATACACACATGCACACAGAAGGATTCACACTTGTATTTCATGATCCGCAAAAGGATTCACACTTGTATTTCCGGATCCACACTTGTGTTTTTCAATGCACACACAAATGTGTTCCGTTTCATATACATGTAAATAAAATCCAAATACAGAAAAAAGTTTTACATATGTATTTTTGATCCTCACATATTTGTTTTCCTTTTAAAACCTCTGCACCTGCAAACACAAACTGCTTTCTGTGCATGGATCGCTGTGCATTCGTGTGTGGGTTTTTTGAGACTCCCCTGACGGTCACCCGATTCGTACTTGTCTCCTCAATTCTAAGCCAATCACATGAGCGCGCCCCCACAAGGGTAGATTTATTGCGTTCATGACACTTCATATACGCATTTTGCGCTGTCCGAGCAGGGTTTCCGCGGACAGAATTTATTTTACCGGACAAATTTGAAACTTACCGGTCATGTTTCAATAATAATAATAATAAGAAGAAGAATTGTGTGTGAGTTTCCGTTAGCAGGTAATTACCGGACTATGACCGGATATGGCTAATAACACGGGAGTAAGGATCATCTCTTTTCCTCTCTCCTGACAGCCCGTCAGTTTCTCATGCAGCTCGCTAAAACTTCACTCGCGTTTATGTCCATATCGATCAGATCCAGCTCTCCTGATCGGCCTTTATAGAGAGCACCGATCAAACTATTAAGAGTGAATATCGGCCGATAATGACCGGCGGGGCTCCCCCCCGTTGACAGTTCACTGTCTAGCACTGGCTTCGTAGTGCACTGATCGATTAGGCTAAGCTAACCTGTAGCTGCTCCCTCCACACTCAAAACAACTTCATACAGACATAAATAAAGCAGCTGTATTCGCCATACAGCAAACACACATTTAAAACGGTTTTGCCTGCCGTTTTTGTGTACACAAGCATTCATTAATGGTTCGGAAAGTGGCACTGTACCTTAATAATATAAAGGCTTGTATTTGCGTGCATTTCCTGCTCGGAAAGTGGCAATGTACTGAGAGTGGAAGTGTCCTGAGATTAGCGCCTGCAGGCAGGCTCCATGGACCTGTCAGCTCCGGACAGCGCAAAATGCGTACATGAAGCGCTACGTCATGAACGCAATAACTCTACCCTTGTGGGGGCGCGCTCATGTGATTGGCTTAGAATTGAGGAGACATCTGATTGGCTATAGATAGAAAAAATTACAAGTACGAATCGGGTGACCGTCAGGGGAGTCTCAAAAAACCCACACACGAATGCACAGCGATCCATGCACAGAAAGCGGTTTGTGTTTGCAGGTGCAGCGGTTTTAAAAGGAAAACAAATATGTGAGGATCAAAAATACATATGTAAAACTTTTTTCTGTATTTGGATTTTATTTACATGTATATGAAACGGAACACATTTGTGTGTTGTTGGAGCAGAACACCTATTGTGGTGGCTGATAGCCACCCCCTCTGCTACGCGCCGTTCGTTAGATGAGGCTGAATCTCTATTAAATAAAGAAAGGAATTGAAAACACCGGAATCAAAAGTTATAACAATTATCTGAGTTTACTGGTAGGAAACCAAACACATATACAAGTTATACAGAGTACTCCGGACTTCAGGTTTGTGATGCGATGCGGATAAAGGTGTCGGGACCCGCCAACTCATCAAACAAGAAGAAATTGACTTCAGGTTTGTGATGCGATGCGGACACAGATATCGGGACCTGCCAACTCACCAAACAAGAAAGCATTTTACATTCAAAAACAACAGTATTCATAATCATATTTTGGGGCGGAGATGTGTTGACTTTTCCCTTCCCCTTTTACTCCAAAGCGAATGAGAGAGTCCGTGAGGAGGAGCTGTATGAGCTGCTCACATCCCCCAAGTGTTTTTACTGGTTGGATTCACTCCTGGTCGGGTTCAATACAGCGAATCAGAGTTCTGACCAGAACGTGAGATTCTAAAGTTTCACAAGGTCAAAGTCAATCTTATCTCCGCACCGGTATTCACTCCCTTACTTTCCCATGGGAGTTTTTCACATAAATTATTCTTTCTCATACAATTAAACCTTTGTGCACAAATATAATGATGTCCATAAGGACCTTGAAAAAAGAACATGTGTGTGCGCTGGTGAAAAGGAGCGGTGTGTGTGTGAAACAGGATCTCTGGGTCAGTGAGTTGTAAGAGAGAATATCATTTCTATATATGTGATTACTTAAAACCGTTCAAACAATACATGTTCACTAAAATACAATTCAAAATAATACATGTTTACTTCAATACAGTGTAGAATCATATCTTTTTACTTCAATCCCTCTTTTGATCTCACCTCACGAGATCAACATATAGCATTTGAAACATTACCACTGTCATTCTTTTCTACTGTGTCTCAACATTTATATAAATCCATCAGAAGCTGGGATGTAGAGCACTTTAAACCTTTAGGAACAGTCCACAACAACAACTTCTTATGACAGTGGAGGGAGAATAAAATATGTCTAAAAAAGTTCGTCCTTGTCAGCTGAGTCATCGTACTCTTCCCCCTCCGACGCTTGGCCAACAAGGGCATTCGGTACAAAGGGGAAAGGGCACTTTTCCCTCAATGGTGGAACTGATGAGTCTAACACACAATGAGCGGATAGAAGGCACACAACAAAAACCACATGTCACTAAAATGGCAATAAAAGTAGCCACAGA